TGGCGTCCAGGCACAGGCAGTCGTCGTCCTAGGTCCCAGCCATCGCGAGTACTCCTACATGCATGCACGCAAACTCGATTGCTTTTGCATGCGTCGTGAGCTCATTGATAGATTATCCATGCACGTACGCACGTACGCACACAGGGCGCTGGTCTCCTGGCAGTGTCCACGGAGGTGAGGCCGTGAGGCAGCTGTGGCCGCCGCCGTGAGGACCCGGCGCGGCTGGGCCGTGCGAGGTAGCCGCACGACGTAGGGCATGTGTCGCTGCCTATTGGCGTAACCATACCCAACCAAGCAGCTGGGTTGAGGAAGAAAGATGTCTTGACGGAGGAGTTCACGGTAACAACAGCCACCGTGACACAATGCTATTTGAAGATAACAGTTCAATCTTTCGATGGTATTTTACGTGATGGACGTGATGGTAGTTTTTTGAATCTCGCGATCTTTTGATGCTGTGAAACCAATTTTGCCAAATAACAATCCTCCCATCAGTCCAGTACGCGCGCGCATGTATGCCCTGCGGCAAACTGATGAATCAACAGGCTGCTAACTTACGCTGCGCTGCTGCAGAGGTGACGAAGGCGGTGCAGGCGAGGAAGGAGAAGCAGAGGAAAGCGCAGCAGCAGCTGCTGGAGTCGAGGCAGGGCACGCCGAGGGGCGCGACCGAGGAGGACGACGAGGCAGCCTTGGACGCCAGCCTTGATCAGGTGATTATTACATGGATGGATTAGACTTTGCCTCTCCAATCCAACTGTTTTCCGATGTTCCCATGCACGCTCTCGCCATGACCCGTACGGCGCCTTTAGTTGCTTCTTCAGGGTAGTTAGCTGTTCATCTTCTCGTGACTATCCTCATCACCTGTTCTTGTCACTGGAATTTCTGCACTGTAGAAAAATTCTGACATAACTGAGAATCATAATCATGACAAGTAAACAAAACGGTTAAAAAAACTAATAAGTAAATAAAATATCACAATTTGAACATTCCAGGTGAAATGCATACAAGAAGATTGTAGTATATTTTTTAGGGAAAAAAAAGAAGTGTAGATAACTAACTGATGGCTGATGCTGCTATAGCACCCAGAAGGAAGTACAGCATTAGATTAGGGGATAGATTAATAGGTGAGTTTCAACTAATGTCAGGGCCGGGGGAGGAATCATTTCCGGGAATCTTTTCCTTTTCCTACGGATTTTATTAACCACGCAACATGCAAAGGTTCCTTCTTCTGATTACTCTTCTGCTCTTCCCATCTGACTGCAGTTGGCGCGTCAGGACAACGGCAGCCGGAGCTCCAGTGCGCGGCACCGGCAATGGCGGCCGTCGCTGCAGAGCATCGACGAGGCCACGAGCTGATATGTCAGCTCAATACACTCATGCCACACAAAACCGTAGGGCCGTAATCATTGACCGGTGGACCTGTATTTTCGGTGATCACCTGGCCTGGATTAGTTCGTCGCAAGGGTTGCTATTGGCCTACTGCTACATTTGCACACTGTGAGTTGGAGTTGGACACCCTGGGATGAGAGGGCTGCTTCAGATCATGCAGTATGTAGCCTCGGATCCGTGTAAATTTTCAGGTGTTTGTTAGTCAGACCGCTTTGCTTTTTTCCCCCCCTCCATACGGTTTGCACATCGAATCATATAAGTAACAAATTGAAGAAGGGATACCTTTACCTTCCTAGATCTATTCTTCAGTCACCTCCTCATAGCTCATAGTTGTATATCACAGAATGACAATACAAAATTTAGAAGATTTACCTTTGTCTGCACAAGTTCAAAAAAGATAACATCATCCGTTAGTAAGCATAACTGAATTATTACCAAATACTCTTTAATTTCAGAACTGTAGAACTAATCCATTGAGGAGTCAGAACAAGCTAGAAACACCATATCCATCAAAATTACAGTGATGTACAAAAATATCAACTTGGGATATCAATCAGCGGTTGTTAATACTTAACAAAAAATGGTATAGCAGAAACAAGAAGACTGGTATACTTAACAAAAAATGGTACAGCAGAAACCTTTCCTTCCATTGTCCACACCTTCACGTGGTAATCATATGATTCCTGAGCTATTCACCCTGCCTATATTGGATTTTCCATAAGTGCACCATCCAGTTTGTTGCCTAAAAACAAGAAGACTGGGACAAAAAAAATTGAGTGAGTTCAGATATATGGAAGACAAGTAAATTTCTTCTGACTGATTTTTTTTCTCAGATTCCCTAATAACATGACTTGTTTGATAATCTCCAGGGTATCACACATTCATACAATCATATCACAAAAATTAGTGAAACTTTTTTTTATCTCTGGGAAGCATTCTATCGAAAACATAGTGGACAGATTGTTGTGCTGGTGAAAGAAGAATCAGAATGGGGAGGATTGGACAGATTATTATGCTGATAAACAAAAAAGAATTAGAAAAGGGAGATTGGACGTGACCTTGTAGATCAGGGGAACGACGTCATGTTGCTGACAGAGTCCAATATGGGAGACGAGGTAGCTACGGTTGGCATGGCTGCCGCCATTCTCAGCTTGTCCACAGTAGGTGCCAGAAATTGTCGCAACGCAACGTGATGTATTAAAAAGATATAGAACCAATAATCTTCGAATAAACTGAGAGGAAGGGAGAGATCATACCTGATGCTCGAACTCACAAGGAGATGCAGGCTCGGTCTAGGTTGGATCAGACGACAAAGGCTGTGATATCCTCCATTAGATCCCATCGCCTCCTTGTGCATACTCACCGCCACCGGATCTGAAGAACGTGGTCGAGGGAAGGAAGTTGCCCACTGGAGGAAGATATCGGAGAGAGGAGGAGGATGGTGTGGATCGACAGATGACACCAGGAGTATGCGGGTGGCCGTCGCCTCTAGTAGATGAAGGTACAGTTAATCCCTAATCACGATAAACCCTACTAGTCTGTTGCACTGGCGGATGCAAAACAGAATTAAGGGGTTTGGTCTCTTCTTCTTTCTCAGTCTATTTTTATTCTTTCCTCCACCTCTTCTTTTCCCTTACCCTCCCCATATTTCCATTGATGCACCAGCTGTAGGGGAGTTGGAGCCCCCCAGCCCCCTGTACATCCGCCCCTGGGCAGTTGGACTATCCACGTTCGTGGGCTGCGCAGACGAAATTATTAGGGGACCGGGCGCGACGTGGGATATGTCGTATAGCAACAGATCGTATTTCTGTTGCTAGGCATTCGTTGATAGAGGGGTGTTCGTGTTGTAGCGTAACTTTAGGAGGGGGGAACAAACTAGAGGCGATACGTTTACTTTGTAGGTGTGTATATATATGTGTTTTCTAGAGAAGGTATATATTCCCTCGAAGGTTCGCTGTAGACATGCAGTTGGCGCTGCGTTGGGTGTTGATTTCGAATCGCACGGCTAGGAAAAAGGAGGCGACGTGGCCTCGCGAGAAAACAGAAAATGGTATACGAAAAATAAGGATATATGGTAGATTTAAAACGTAATCACTGTTTTTATAATCTTTAGAGGGTGCATTTTCATCCCCTAATCTCTATATTCCTTTTTCATAGTGTATTATACAAACATACACTCTCCGGTTCAAAATAATACTCGCTCTGTTCCAAAAGTAATTCTAAATATGAACCTATACAAATTGTATCTAAACTCATATCAAAATTACATTGTTTTTGACTGAGAAGGTATAGTACAACAGTACTCCGTATGCCTTGACAATAAAGCGTACCACGTCGTTCCAAAACCACGATCCGGGACGACCATTCCAGGGACGTGGATCCGTGTGACTGTGTGTTCAATCTTTGCTTTGGTTTTCTTAGTCCTATCTATTTTCATTGTTAATATCACCAAGTTATCTGTATATTTTGAATTACTAGTATATTGTTTTAACTATTTATATTATAATTTATGGATGTTTTCAATTAAATCTTCAAAAAGACTTATGGTGTTATCTAGTACATGTATCTCGAATTATTATTGCAAATTTTACAACTCTCACCGAATTGTCAAATGGTTTTACTGAATTATGTATGAAAATTTTGGTTGTCATACCCTTAAATAAAATCCTAGTCCGCCACTGTTCTATGCGCACTTTTAAAGGACTTTACACGTAGATTTCTAGATTGACGAATTTATCATAGGTATTTCGTTATCAAAGGACATATCGCCTATATTAAGAAAAACAACTCCGTTATATTCTAGCATAAATTTAGGAAAAATACAAACACTCACATCAAGTCGACAACTTAAATACGGATAACAATTAGTAGAAGCAAGTTTAAATAAATCCTAAATCTTTAACCCATGTGTATTTGGTTCGCCCACGCCTTGCCATGCCGCAAGTTAGGCGTACCATAGTTTCTTGGGCATGCGTTTGGTTTATTGCTGCAACTATGGCGTGTCACACTTTGTTAGCATCCCATCCACATGTTATAAATTTATTTTCTTGCCAAACTTTGCTATAAGTGTAGTTTCGATTTTGCTTGCTATATTTTCTATGGCAACAATAGTTTACCAAAAATTAGTCGCGACAAACTTAGGCATGAACTAAACAGTATTTTTTTTTAGCATCGGTCGTCTCAACAAAGATCGTGGATAATGGACAGGTGACACAAGCACGGCCCAGAAGCAGTTCTTCCAAACAGGGCCATGGACTTTTTCTCTGGACCACTCAGCCTCCTCAGACGCAGCAGGCCCAGTCTACGTTGAACTTGAACTTGAACTAGCCCATTTTATTGAGGCCGTGGGCCGAGGTTTAATCTACCCAGTTCCCTACACACTTCGCGACCTAATATTGCTGCCTCGCCTACGCCGCTTGGCTTCTCGCCCTGTCTTTCCACTCCCCATTCGAGTCCCTCCGCTTCAGCCCTTCCACCACCACCACCACCACCACCACCACCTCGTCCTCAGCGGCGGTCGGCAAACCCTAGAACCCTAGACCCATCCGCCATACTTCGGTTACTGGGCGCGGGCTAGGGCTAGGGCCCAGCCTCCATATTCGCAGCTCGCGGCGATGCCGCTTTTCATCTCCGACGAGGAGCTCCGGCTCCTCGGCGGCGACACGGCCGCCGTTGCCGAGCGGGCCGACGCCGCCATCCGTGAGCTCCGGCGCCAGGTGGATACCGTACGCGCCGAGGCGGACGCCGCTGCGATTGCTGCCGAGCAGACCTGCGCCCTCCTCGAGCAACGGTACGCCTCCCTCTCCGCCGAGTTCGATCGCTCCCAGGCCGAGGCCGCCGAGCTCACCGCCGCTGCTGAGCGCCGCGCTGCCGAGCTTGCCTCCTCTCAGGCGGAGATACATCAGCTTCGCATCCAGGCGGTAAGACTCTAGGTTTTCAGCTGTTTGTTTGATCACATTGTTTGGTTTGGTTGGGTACACTGATCACTCGATGTTTGTTGTTGTAGATCGCTAAGGATGGTGAGGTGGAGAGGTTGAAAATTGAAATCACGGAGCTGCACAAGTCCAAGTGTCAGTCGCTGGAGTTGATTGAGCAGAGAGATTCAGAAATAAAAGAGAAGGATGGCATCATCCAGAGCTACTACGACAAAATTGTGAGCACTTCTGTTTAAGTACTTTTAATAATAATATTTATGCACTAATCGGTCAATTTGGCATCCGTATTCATAGTGAATCTAGTGTCAGCCGTATTCTTATCAGTATTGGACTTTGTAATGTCAAAGTGTGCTCAGTTATACGACTAGCACTATCTAAATTATAAAAGCATGCTTTTGATTAGTGACCTGTGAATATTCCACCAAGCCCTGCCACTACTTTTGTAGACCTGTGGTATAGACACTTATTTATTATATAAGCTGTTGTGGATAATTTCTCTGCCTGTATTCGCAAGTCGCAAGTCGCAACTTGCAAGAAGTATGGCTTGCCACATGTTCCATGTCATGTGTAGCAGCCAACCAAAAAGGCTCTTAGTTTTTGCATTTTCTTTTTGAGATTTTAATGCTCTTTTATTTTGCGGATTGGGTGTATATCCTGCAATTTTTTGTTTAAGTTTACTGAAAACATGGTTATCATCTTTTCAGGCAAACCTGGCAGAGACTTCTGCTGGTAAAGAGGCTAGGATACAAGGGGTCGAAGCCAAGTTTACCCATTGTCAAGCAATTTGCAATCGCATTACCCAGGTATGAACATGAAATGGATGAATTAACACCGAGATGCATAGTTGTTATTTTTAGTAGTGTCACTCCTTTACTCTTTGATGCATTAATACTGCCTAATACTGAGCCTTACCCATATGTTTGCATGGTGCACCAGTTGGTTCTTATGTGGTTTGCTTTTCTTTATCAGGAGAAGGAGCTGCTTGAAAAACACAATCTCTGGCTTGATGAAGAACTGAAAGCAAAAGTGAAGAACTTAGCTGAACTAAGGAAAACAAATATGGATGAGGAGGCTCGGATGTCAGCAAGGATTGCTGAGGTGAGTCTTTGTGATCTAACTCATGATGGGTAGTTTTTGTGATCTAACTCATGATGGATTTAGAACACATACACTGACTGAACCTTCGTGTTTCAGCTTGAAAGAGAGATTTCTGAATCTTCTAGCTCCTTGAGGCGAAGCAAAGAACGCATCTCTGAACTGGAGCAAAGGGTATCCTACATGGAAAAGGTAATTTCTCATGCAGATGATTGCAGTATTACTGTTTCCATCTAATCTTTTCTCTTTATATTTTGGTGATTGAAGGAGTTGTGCTCAACAAAGGATGCTGCAGCTGCTAATGAACAACGTCTTGGTGCGGAGCTTTCAACTGTATGGTTTTATCTCTCTTAACTCTCTTTCTCCTTGCTGCTGGTATGTGTGCACCCTTGGTGCTGCTGTATGTCAGTATTTGACTGCCGCCTACCCGCCTAGTGCCTAGAGATTCTCCACTCGCCTCCTGTTATCTCCTCATGCCCATTCACCATTTTTATAGTTGAGTGAGACTTTTTGTCACATCTTAATTGTTAATATCTGATGATCCTGTTACCTGATTGAAACTCATTATGAAAAGCTGATGCAATGCAATGCTTGTGGGAACACCTGGAGTATTTTGACCCTTTGTTATCTCTAGTGAGATGATTTACCATAGCTCATGGTGCTTAGGTCATGAAACTTGCTGAACTTCACAAAGAAAGTTCCGAGGAATGGTCGAAAAAGGCTGGGGAGCTCGAAGGTGTTATTAAAGCATTAGAGGTAATGCCTTTGCTTGTATATCATGGTTACATGTTTTTGTCCCACAGTCCCAGTTACAAACAGTGAATAACTCATGATCAATTTCTCCTACAAACTAGACACATCTGACCCAAGTTGAAGATGAATACAAGGAAAAGCTTGAGAAGGAGTCCTTGTCCAGGAGAGACCTTGAAAAGGTATATCTATTTATATGTTCATGTTCCCTGCAAAATTTTAGTTGGTTGCAAGTTTATTAGATCTTGTCATAACCTGAGCAAGATCTCGGATGTTCTTTCATTGTGCTATGTGATCTTATTACCGCAGGATGCTGTCAACTTGAAGCAGAAGCTTGAAAAGTGTGAACTTGATCTGGAGAATACAAGGAAGTCCAGTGAATTGAGCCTCATTCCATTGACCAGCATTGCAGCAGACTCTTCTGATCTAGTAGACACAACAGTACGAGAACTGTATGATCTCTAGCACTTGACTTTTTTTGTTGTAAATGTGTTACATCAAACAAGTTGAAATGCCAGGAAAACAAAAAGTTGTGAGATGTTTATCAAATCGCCAGCTGTTAACTTTTCTTTTGAAATGATTAAAAATTGTATCACCCTAGCATATTGACCCACTTTTGGTGGATGTGGACTAATGGCCTGTCCCATGCCCTTGGCTCTGCTTGGCCTGCAGCAGACCCATGGCAGAGTTTTGTCCAAGCAGTTTTGCCCTCCCTGAGGATGTTTCATTCAGTGGTGATGAAGCTGGTAGGCCTAACTGAGATGATGTGTGGTTCTACTGCAGCCTCTTTTGGTGGCGGGGCTATGCAAACTGAAATGAGGGCACAATAGGGCATATGAAACAGAATTCTTGACTAACAATCATGCTAGGATAAGATTAAAAACTTGTTAGGAGTTTAGTTTGTTCCACTTTGATCTCTTTAGTCCTTTCCATGTTATTTTCTAGGGACATGGAATGGGAATATTGTCGTGAATGTAGCAACCCCTGAACCTTTTGTTTTGTTGCACTTCGTACTTCTCTAGGCCAACTTTTACTGACAATTTTTCATAGATGTGGATGTGGGATGTAGAAGAAAGAAATGAAGAAAGCATCACTTCTGAGCATTCTAGAGTAATATTTAGGGCAACATCTTTTTTTGTAAGAAATTTTAGATGCTGTAACAGTCGTCGACATATAATTGTTAAATAATGATACAAACCATTTCCACTTGATGCATCCAGATTTCTTTCCCTGATTATTGAGGAAGTAGTAAAGATAATAGGAAAAGGGCAAAATGACGAGAGATGAGTGAATCAAAATGGTTCTTCATATTTAAAGTTTGTCTTTCATTAAACCTCGCTCCTATTTTGCAGGCCTATTTCTGATGCAGTTAATCAGAATGACCTAATGGTTATTCCGAAGGTACCTAGTGGTGTTTCTGGAACTGCTTTAGCTGCTTCTCTTCTTCGTGACGGTTGGAGTGTATGTCCTACCTCTTCTGTACTCTTAATTTCTTTGTTTTCACCTCTCTTTATGTTTCCTGATAACATTCATTGCATTATCAGCTTACTAAGATCTATGAGAAATACCAAGAAGCTACTGATGCTTTCCTCCATGAGAGGCAGGGAAGGAGACATGCAGAAGCAGTTTTGGAAAGGGTAAGTTATTGTGCTTGTTACTATCTCTGAATTGGGATCTTATCAACTGCTCATCTTCGTTTTACCCAAATGATCAGGGATGAAGCCAGAAAAAAATTTAGGAGGGGCTGAACAAAGAATAGAGGCTTTTTTATCTTCTCTTAACCTTAGCCCCTCCTACCTAATACATATATGCATAAAATTTTAAGAGAGGGCTTAGGGGGGCTCCACGTGCCCAGGATCGGTAGGGGGGGCTAGAGCCCCCCCAGCCCCACCGCTGGCTCCGTCGCTGCAAATGATCGACATTGGTTAAATTTCTTTTGTGCCATTGGAATTCTATTTGCCTTTGTTAGTGACACAGGTGTTCCCCATGTGTCATTGGGATATTATAGAAAATAAGAGATTGCAAAATTTTGCTATGGCAAATAAGAAATTACCGTGTGGACATTTGGCGCTCTATTTTCAGTTGTCATTGCAATATCTAGAATGATGAAGTAATTTGAATTGTCCGATGGGCCTAATGTGAATTAGAAAGAAGTATGCTAGTTTTTCTACAGGATCACAGAAACAGTAATGTCTTTTGCTTTAAAGAGATCCTTTCTGCATAAGTATGTGCTTCTTTACCTGAATCATTGTCGAGTACCTGAATATCTCTTGTACACCAGGTTTTGCATGAAATAGAAGAGAAGGCTGAGCTTATCCTAGACGAACGGGGTAAGTTTTCGCTCATTGTTCTTAATCTCTTGAAGCACCACACAAGCGAAATAACACTGCTTGGCAGATGAAAACACTGCGATACTGCTTACTTTATGATTCCTCTCAACCATTCCTCCCTGTTTTTTCTTCTGATCATAGCTGAGCATGAGAGGATGGTCGAAGCTTATGCTCTAATGGATCAGAAATTGCAGCAAGCATTGCTGGAGCACGATAATTTTGAAAGCAATATTAGGAATCTAAAGGTACGCAGTATACAGGTATTGCACGTTGATAGGTTTCATTGGATGCGGTTTTAACATCCACATACCTTTCAGTCTGAGCTGAAAAGACAGGAGCGTGATCATAGTGTGGCACAGAAGGAAATAGATGACCTGCAAAAACAAGTGAGCGCTTCAACTTGCCGTTGGCATTTCAGTCTGCTTGTTTTCATTATTGATATTAATTACATGGGAGTTTGCGAACTTTCAAACAGATTGTTCGTTGTGATTTAGATGTGTGTCATGTATGAGATTTGGAGCAGCTTCAGGTGGTGGGACCGTGGGAGCCCCCGTAGATATTTATGCTATGGTGGTTATCCACTAATGTCCTTCCATTCGTCCTGAAGTTGTTCCAATTATTTCAAGTCTAATAAAAAAGCATGTGGGGAATTATATGAATTATGTTTGTTATGCATCATTTCTGCTTTATAATGTCCATGTGGTATTGCATATCCATGTTCTGATTTTTGTTTTACTGTTCTTTGTAGGTTGCTGTTCTTCTAAAAGAATGCCAAGACATACAGCTTCGTTGTGGTTCTAGCCTTCCTAATGTAGGCCATGGCGCTTTTTCTTCAAGCTTAGGCAATGTTCTTTCTAATGTAGAGCTTGATATCAAGAATAATGTAAGTCTACTCTTGTGGCTATCCCTTCTAAAGCCTTTTGTTTCACTATGGTTTTGCATCAAATTGTTGTCTTACCATATTATAATCTTTGGCAGATGTCTTTTAAAGATATCAATGGGTTAGTTCAGCAAAATGTTCAACTAAGAAATCAAGTTCACATGCTCTCAGCCGATCTTGACAAAAAGGATATGGAACTACAGGTAAGTGTGATATGTTGCTGTTTTTTTTACTACACAATTTTAATTGTTCAATTTGTCAATTGCTAGTTATACTCTCAATTTCAATTGCAAAGATTCTTAATTTCGTTCCTACCTTTGTAGGAGAGCTTCCAAATTGAGTTGAAGAAAATTACAGATGATGCTGCGTCCAGGGTTGAAAAAGTTATGAAGAAATCTGAAGAACAAGCAATAATGATCGAATCTCTTCATCGATCCGTATGTCTTGCATATTCTTCTTTCAAAGACACAGAAAATCCTTTTTTGTTGAAACATAATTCTATTAATTGCTACATGTACCATGAATCATAAGATAGCCTATGGTTATTCTTTATTGTTGTGTAGGTGGCGATGTATCGGAAGCTGTGTGAGGAGCAGCAGAAGGCTCGTTTGAGTGTTGAATCAGCACCTAGTGCTCTGCAAGGTTTGTTTGTTCTATTATGCTTTTTCTTTTGATTTGTCCTGCCCATTAGTTGAATAACTTGTATTTGTGTGGGGTTGACTGTGTTGTGGTGGTGTATGTCAAGGCACTTGTACTTCACAGATGCTCTGGATGTTAACTTTACCTCACGCTTTTCCTTTTTATTCTCTAGATAGCAGCAGAACGGACCTGATGGTTCTGTTTGAAGGATCACAGGTAATTTTCTGGATGATACTTTTCAAGCAGCCTATATGAATACAGTGGTTTTGATCTATTCCATCCTGTGTTTTCTACCTCAACTCTATAGGAAGTCTCGAAGAAAGCTTATGAGCAAGTCTCTGAACGAGCCAGAAGCCTTGATGAAGAGTTGACAAAATTGAGGTTGTCTTTTCTCTCATTGTTTATCTGGCTTACTTAACATAGCTAATGATCAGTGTATGTTTATTTTTATTTCATTATACAAGATCTGCAGTAAGCTTCTAGGGGGCTATCGGTAGCTTTATAGGTCAGAAGTTGATGGACCATAATTTTTGTAACATTTGTGGAGTAACTGTTAATTTTTTTTTGTTGCGAAAAAGCTTGGTACTTTACCCTTTGATAGTAGCCACGTCTGCGGTAGTCTCATGCTGGTAGAATGTTGTAGGAACTTTCAGTTCTCATCCACACCGGGTGATATATGCTGTTAATTTAGTTTGCCTTGCACTTCAGTTTGCTTTTATTTTGTTTGGAGCATATTTATTGAAGTTCGACTAGGATTCTATTTCTGGATAAAGTTCAAATACCTTCAATACTTACTGTTGTCAATTCAGGACTGAGCTTCAGGCTCTGCGATCTGAGCGTGATAAGGCAGTGCTTGAAGCTGATTTTGCTCGGGACCGGCTTAATGGGTTTGCAGCGGAGCTTGAGCATCAGGTTCTTTTTCTGTGTTATAATACTGTTTTCTCTTCTTAATTATATTACTCAGAGTTAATTCTCAGTTCTTCGTTTATTTGTTGATGAGAACTCTTGCGCATTATTCTTAATGCCGATTTTGATTATTCTCCTGTAATTACAGAGGAAGGAGTCTTATTCTGCTTCACTTAGAAATGCGGAGTTGATGCGCTTGGTAGTTGATTACGAAAGAAGACTTCGTGAAGATTTGGATTCTAAGCAAGGTTTAGAGGAGAATCTAAGGAAGCTATCAATGGAGGTTTGTTTGCATTTTGTGCATCCATTAAATAATTATAATGATGCAGAAACCTGACATGATTTCCCAACATTCTAGGTGACGACATTGAAGAATGCAAAAGAGAATTTAGAGAAGTCAGAGAAAAAAGCTTTGGATGAAGTCCGTGATTTAACGGAGCGAGTGCATCGTTTGCAGGTTTATTTTTTTTTCTCATTGCCACATATAAAAGTTTCTGTGTATCAGGTGTCATTTTACATTTATCAGTTCTTATCATGCTGATATAGTTGAGGTACAATACATGTAAATTGTTTTTGCTAGATTCATCCTTCATTTTGTTTTAGTTATGTGCACGCTTGTTATAAAAAGCCTACTGAATGTCTCTTCTCATCCCACATTAGTCTCATTTGGACAAATCTACACAGTTTTTTTTCCCAGTATTTGATAATTGCATGATTTCATGGTCTAATGAACATGCTAGTTATTTTAACTTCTGTTCTGATATAATCTTTGATGGATTATAGTATTCTCATTGGTTTGAGGTTGGATGCATATGTGGCAGTGGAAGTGTAAGAATGATGGATTGATGTCCTTTCAGCTGTGGGGCTTATCTCCCGCCATGACAGGAGCTCTGTTCTGACTGGAACTTTTGGAGTTTGTGTACTTGATGAAAACATAGCATAGCACAGCCTTATTGCTGACCTAGGAAACAAACCCCTGATTGCTGACCTAGGTTATTGGTGTGGCTAGTGTTGGCTGCAGCTGATATGCCTGCCACAACAAAACATCTTGGATGCTTTCGCCTTTGGGGGCATGATGTTTAAGAAGGCATTTGGGAACTTTTACCGATCTTCAGATACATAAGGAAAATGCAACACTAGCTCAGCCCCATATTTGAAGTTTGACCAAGTTTGTAGAAAAGAGTATTAACATTTATGCTCCAAATAGGTATATAATGAAAATATAATGTTGATGAATCTAATGATACTTACTTGGTGTCATAAATGTTTTTCATTTTTTTAAATAAATTTAGTCAAACTTTGAGATGGTGTGCTGGAGTTGCATTCATTTTTTGGGGGGATGGACGTAGTTGGTAAGACATGCTTGGATTTTTTTTATCATTGCTGTAAGTCTGCTTATATCCAAGGTACCAAATAGCATATATCGGGTTGGTAACGGATTAGCAGATCACGGATAGCAGGTGCTATTGCAGACACTAAGTTCCAATAGCGGCATATGATAATTTACATGTAAATTTAAGCATATATTGTGAATTATGGGCATATAAATAGACATTTAACTATACTCAAAGAACTGATATCTCACATACTTAAGGGGGTACCCAGTGCAGAGAGCTCCCGCTCTGTGCGGGGTCTGGGGAAGGGTGTCAGTGGCAAGCCTTACCCTCGCCTGTGCAATGCAAGGAGACCGCGACTCGAACCCGGGACCTTCCGGTCACAGGCGGTAAGACTCTACCGCTTGCACCAGGCCCGCCCTTATATCTCACATACTTAAATTAAGAAAAAAAATATGATGTTCCACAACTTGCATATAAGTCGTAGTATATTAGAGTTTATAAAGAAATAGATTATGAGTGACGTAAATAGTTTATGACCATCATTCATTATCATTGTTAAAAAGTGGCAACTTCATCATTCTCATGGTCACTTAAACCATCTGCGTATCTTAAGTGGACTAGGATTATTTGTTTGTTGCATACCATACCACGCTATTGCTGCTGCTACAAAGAATTGCGGAGTGCTATAGCGGCCTGCCAACTCAAATAGCGGTCGCTACAAAGAATTGTGGAGTGCTATAGCGGCCTGCTAACTTAAATAGCGGTCGCTAAGTTCCAACTTGCTAAATCTAGTCCGCTACGTCATAGCGGTAGCGGTAGGAGACCGCTACCACTATTGCGGCCGCTATAGCGGCGGCTACCACCGCATGCCATATTTCTGATGGTCTCCCATCCTGTCATATTTCTGAAATCCATGCAATGGTATGCTACCATGATTATTGTTGCACAGGTAACAAACTATACAACAAAAGAATTACTTACATATTCACTTTTTTTTTTTGGTTACAACCGACTTTTGATTTTTGTTCTCTAGCATGTTATGCACAGTGTTTCCAAATCATCTGATTGACCCTAGTCGCCATGGCACCGATAAGCCGATTAGTTGTTGATCATCTGGATAGGTCGATCCTAGTCAACCCTAGTCGTAGATATAATCATCCTCTATATAGCGGAACCGATATAATATATATAGTATGTAGCTATGGCCTTTTCTGCTAGTGATGAAATATCTGGAGTAGCACGTGATGCAGCTGCAGCTCCTACTTCTCGGTCAGGCTCAGGCATTAACACTTCCACCACTGCATGCCGGCACTGATCCACATCTACACAAGTGCAGTAGTGCACATACACATCAGCTACTGTCTCTGCTCTCAGGGAACCAGAGCATGGAGGTACTGAAGTAGAGGGATGAGAAGCTAAGCAGAGCTAAGAGCTACTAGAAACAGATCCATCAGAGAGGGGCTCGGAGCAAGAAAAGCTAGGAGCAAAAGGATGTGGTCACGAATCATCAGAGGTGGGGCTATTCTTCAAAATCCCATGGAACAGGAGGTGTGACATGGCAGTGGGTGGCGCTTGAAGGACAGGCGGACGGCCAGCGACGCTTAACTGCGGTGGGGATGGGTCGGATTGGCAGCTTCCTCCGTGCGGGCTCCTGGCCAGCAGATGCAGTGAAGGGAGGTGACTGGCTGGGAAGGGGGATGGCAGCCTTGACTGGGAAGGAAGGAGGCGTCTGTGATTGAGAAGGGTGTGGCGCCAAGAGCTTCTCCCGCCTATATGAGCTCTGTGGGCGGCGACTCCAGTCTGCAGGGAAGTGAATCAAACAGGAGATAGCAGGACAAGAAGAGATAACAAATGAAACCCTATTGGGATGAAAAACAATAAGCCCAAGTGACCATCTGCCAGCCCATGACGAGTTTCCCATCTGCTTTGCAGTTGTCCGTCGCCCAAGTCGGACGACTACTTGTGATGAATCGACGCCTAATTGGACGACTTGGTTTCTGATTGCTCTAGTTGAGTCAGAGGTCATAATCGATGCCAGTGGACCGATAAGCCTGACTAATCACGATTAGTCAGACTACTTAATAACATTGGTTATGCAACACAGGATTCATCTTGCTTTTTTTTAAAAAAAAAAACATATCTGCCATATCTTTTGTTTGATTGTGAGACACTCTTGCTGCAGGTAGGGCCGTAGTACAGTTTACAGTGCATTATTGTATTAATGTTTTCTTGTCATTTCGTTCTTCTTTCTGTGTATATATCTCATATATTGCTTTTCAGGCTACAATCGACACAATCCATACCACCGAGGAGGTTCAAGAGGTATGCAGTTTTAGGCTTTAAGATGAGTTATGGAAATGTTTGGAATATATATCGCCTCTTTTTTTTAACCTGTGGGGATTATTTAGAATGCAAGGTCCATGGAAAGGAGAAATCATGAGGAACACATTAAGCGACTAGAAGTAAGTTTCCTCCTTGCTACTTCTGCATGGTGATGATTGCTTGTATTTTCTTTCTTATGGATTGCCACTAGTGTTTTGTTGTATGTTTATGTTTTCATGGGTTAAATATTTTCGACCTCTCATCTTGAGTTTAAGCTTGTAGCAGCTCAAAACTTAGCATGAGTTATCTGCTTTACTTTTTCGTTTCTCTTTAACCTCACCCAGTTTCTCAGTTATTCACAAACTGAATCATTCTGCAGAGAGATTGGGCTGAGCTTAAGAAGGAGCTTCAAGAGCAGCGAGATCATGTTCGTGTTTTGTCGCTTGACAAGAAAAATGTGTTTGACAGCTGCATGAAGCAGGTAGAGGATATGAGAAAGGAGCTAAATAACTCGTGGAAAGCTGCTTCTGATGCTGAATCAAGGGCTGCCATTGCAGAGGTTTGTTGAAATATTTCTATTGTAGCTGGACTGATAGCACTATATTTGAGACTGGGACAATTTTGATTTGTTTCTCTTTCTGCAGGCCAAGTGTTCTGATTTAGAGGCCAAGCTGAAATCGAGAAAGGTAGATGCAAATAAGTCAAAAACTGTGATTTTGCAAGCTTTGAATATAAAAAATCAGTCATGTTTTTAGTGTTGATAATCTTCATAGTTTGTCACATGTGTGCTTTTTATTGGTGAACCATTTTAGTCTCTGTGAAATGATTGCGTTGTATAGTGACAAAAAAGCGCATGCCATTTTGAGGATTGTAAACTCCTGTAGAAGTACTATATATTTTAAGTTAAAAAGCGAAATCCGTAATACTTGTTACTAACCTTTGATATCTGAGAGTCTGTCTAGTCCCTTGGGGCGTACCCAGTGCAGAGAGCTCCCGCTCTGTGCGGGGTCTGGGGAAGGGTGTTAGTGGCAAACCTTACCCTCGCCTGTGCAATGTGAGGAAACCGCGACTCGAACCCGGGACCTTCCGGTCACAGGCGGTAAGACTCTACCGCTTGCACCAGGCCCGCCCTTGGGGATGACAACAATATATAGAGAAAATGTTATCTATCTGGTAGGGACTGCAGTAATAAAAATGTTATCTATCTGGCAGGAGAGGGAGGACATGATATAAGACATACCCATTCCGTGATGTCTGCTGTTTATGGCCAAATTAAAAAAATGGCCAGTTCGAACCTCGTACAATTATAAGACGATCATATGCTGTACTAGATAGATCATTATCATGGAAGCTCCTAATTGTGCTGTTATTCTATCAGGTCATTTCAAGGGATGGTGGCCATGAAATCTCAGCTGCATCTGAGGTGAGCTATTTTTTGTTGTTGCTGTATGCCATTAACTATTTATCTATGAGTTTGTACTCCAATAATCATGTATCTACATTCTGCGGGATAATTGTAAGGACTATATTACTGCCATTTTGATTTAAATGGGTTCTATATTTTTTATACCCTTGTCTTTCCATGCTCTTTTGAAACACCATTGAATCTTTGCACAAGAAGTCATTACCCCACCCCTACCTTCCTGTGTCAAGTGTTCCTTTATGCAGCTTATTGTGTATTAACTTGCTGATTGCCTGATACATGGTGTCTTGGTCACCAATAGGAGAATGATGAGCTATTCCAGTTGAAAGAGGAGTTAGAAAAATACAAGGAGGAAGCACAAGCAAATAAGAACTACATGGTTCAGGTGCCCGTCTCTCACCTTGTTAAATTCCAGAAGATCATGCTTACCTAGATGTAAAAATGTTTCTATGCACTGAAAAACTAAGGGAATGTTAAAACCACCTTTACCACTATTACGATACTTTATGTTTCCTCCCTTAACTTTCCTCTTACCGACGTGAGTGCTCTGTTCATAATATTTTAAATTGGAGGGAGATGCTTATTTATGACAACAGAACCTTAATTTTGCCTTCCAAGAAAGCTGCTTATTCACAATGTATTGATTTCCTGAATCATGCAACATGAAATCTTGTACAGTACAAAGAAATCGCACACTTAAATGAAGTCGCGTTGAAGCAATTGGAATCTGCCCATCAGGACTACAAGGCTGAGGTACCAGAATTTTATATATGTTATATTGAAGACTCTACCTTTATTTTATGTATGCACATTGACTTTGGTTGTTTTCATGTATAGACCGAGGTTTGCAGGAAAGCCTTGGAAGATGAGATTGTTAAGTTGAGGGATAAGTTATCAGAAATGGAGAAGAGTTATGTCATGAAGTGTGAAGAAGCTGCCAGTGCGATTGAATCTAAAGAGAAGCAAGTCACTTCTCTCATGAATGAAATTTCTGTTTTAAGAACAGAAGTTTCTCAGAAACTGTAAGCATTGGTTTACTCTAAACCCGGCAGAAATACTTTTCTAGTGTACTTCTTCCAGATGAATTGACGTTTTCTGCTGTTGTTTTGTTCCTCTTAACAGACCGCAGTTAGAAAAATTGGAAATTGAATTGGCTTCGTCAAAGAGTTCACTTGATGAGCAGTATAAGCGCTGGCGAACCACCCAAGATAATTACGAACGCCAGGTTTCTTTCTTTTATGCTTTTGCTGATGCGAACCAACTTTTCTTGGTGGAGAATGTGGGAAGTCTCCCACCCCCAAATAATAACAACAAAATAATATAAAAATGTTGGCCACCATGCTTTTGATTCGTGTTGCTTCCAGTTTCATCATGCGGTGCATAAGTTTAAGTGATTTTGTAGAATAATTCGTTGTATACTGCTATAATCATTTAGAATGAGCTAGCTTAATAGTAATGACTTTGCTATTTGGAAAGTTGCAAACAAGGATATGCATTCGAATTGTAATTCATGTACTAGCTACCTCTAGTCAGGAGCCTGTGCCTTGTCACATTTTTTAAATAAATGGCAAGTCCTAATCTCTATCTACTATCCTATGAATTGTTTACTAACTCTTCATTAACCTAGCTGTGGAACTATTAAGTCATGAAGCCAAAAATTCTCTATCATAAAGAAAATGAATTTATATGCTATATAGATCCTCTTTTGTCGCATACAAATGCACACAAAAATCAGCCCACAGAGGCGTAGAGAAGATCCTCAAGGTGGAGGCAACACGAGTGTGCAACATACCACTAGCCACTACCACTGCAAAGCACAAACTCAGATTTGAAGATTATTATATATCCATGATTGATTCGTAGCATATTTCTGATTTACGTTTATTGTGAACATCACAGGTATGAATGCAATGGTTTATACTGATATGTATTCATGTTTACATCTGTCTTCTGTAGGTTATTTTGCAATCTGAGACAATACAGGAGTTGACAAATACTTCTAAACAGCTATCTTCATTGCAGCATGAAATCACTGTACTTCGCCAGGCAGCAGATGCACTGAAAGCTGAAAATGTAACTTGCCCTGCCACTCTGACTATGTAACCTCTTTTTTTGGGCTTTTTTTTCAGAATCTATGTTATATTTCAGTCACACAAATATTACCTTTTGAGTTTTTGTCTGGCTGTGTGCATGCCACTTCCAAAGCTCCTGGCCTGCCTTTCATAAACACCTTTCTTATTGACACATGAAACCTGAATTGGCACGAAATGGTGGTGCATTTACTATCTCATTATCTGGTAGCCGTGGCAGGGCCTGCTGCTGATAAGTAGTATATTTATTGCCAATATATAGATAGAGGCAATAAAAGGAGACTTGAAAGGATGGAATATACCCAAAGACTTAGCCTTAGATAGGAGTGCTTGGAAAACAGCTATTCACGTGCCTGAACCTTGATCGCTTCTGCTGGGTTTCAACTCTAGCCTACCCCAACTTGTTTGGGACTTAAAGGCTTTGTTGTTGTTGTTGTATATAGATAGACTTGTTCTTGCAAAAATATTTTTAATACTGTATGTAATGTGAACATTTTTTTTCATTCGTGTACAAGTATTTTGGATAACCAAATCCATGATTGCTATTGTTGCTGATTTTAACAAGCAATGAGTCTGATTGGTTACTTGCATTAACCTTAGCCTACATTAGACCTTATGTAGCATAACCTAAGGTAGCATAAACATATCCAATGTCTTGCTGCACAGGCAAGCCACATTTGATAAGGTAGCATAAACATATCCAATGGTTGTTTACATTTTGTTGCATATATTCACCTCCATGTTCTAGTTGAGGTCTCATGTTTCTAGTAGCGCTATGGGGGTGAGAATATTTCATTTTTTTATGTGTGACCGGCTTGTGCAAACGTGCATTGTCTAATACGACCAAATCTAGCGTACTAGCTATTGCAGAGCACTGTGCAAGCCTGCATAAGCCTATGCAGGCAACCGAACATGAGCAAACTGCACTGGACTGTACAGGCCTGGATGCAACCAGTCAGACCCAATGTGATCAAAGCTTGGTTATGTTTCTTTTGCATTTTTTGTCCGACTGATTGTTATCCTATTTCATCTTCTATTGTCAACTTCTTGTTTTTGTGGTTTGGCTGGCTTGGGTTCCCAGAATACCATCTCTGTTTTCATTGGTGGACTTTGAATCCATCTATATTCTGTGTGTTTCCTTATGCTATAATCTACTTTAATTGCAGGATATATCGTTAGCACATATGTTATTTTTCATCAATTTTGATTATATATGCTGCCTTCTTTTTGTGAGAAGTGGGCAAAGCAATCAGAAATAAAATCAAATTTGGCCTCTTCGTGCATTTTTGTTTTAAAAATGTATAGATTTCTTGATGTGCTACAGATGTGCATTATCCATGCTGCATTGAATTTTGGAGTTTCCATTGGTTTGCTTCTTACGTAACTAATCAACACTGCTATCATTTCAGGATGGTCTGAGATCTTCTGGTGAGCAAGAAAAGATAGGCTTATTGAAAGAAAAGGATGATGCCCTGCAGAAGTATAATGAGCTTAATGATCAGGTTATTTAACAATTTTTTTTGTTGAATATCCAACACACTATCACAGAAGTATTTTTGTATTACATTTTGATGTTGTGTTATTCTTGTTTAAGGAATTTCCTGCCTGTTCTTCTGGTTGTGCCATTGCCACTTTTTCATACATACCAGAGCTGATCAGTTCCATCACCACATTGAATAGTTTACTACAGAATGGGTGTTAAACCAATGGATATTTAAAAGTTAACCTTTTGAGTTTTGAGGGGCTTATGTTTTGTAAATTTGTATCTGTAACTTCAACACCTATTCTTATTTATTTTAGCAATTATCATTAAAATTGAGGGATGACTTGTGCCTGTGAACCACATTGTTGTATTTGTATATTGTCACTGATTGTCATGCAAGAGAACATGCATACTCTTCATAAGAAATTTATGTATTGTTCAACTTATTCTTACTGCTATTCTTTTCATAATTAATGATTCTGAGTTTGGCTAGCATGCATTTTTTTTCATGATTTCCATTTTGTGATGAGTGCAGAATAGAATTCTACACAATCAGTTAGAAGCTTTGCACATTCGGTTAGCCGAGAAAGAACGGAATATTGCTGGGCTTTCATCACATCGTACTGATAACTCACATGCAGAAGATGATCTACAAAGTGTCATCAGCTATCTGCGCAGATCGAAAGAAATAGTAAGTGTTGGATTTGGAGGGTTTTTGTAGTATTCAGTTTGCACTAGATGTGGTTCTTATTCAGCCTGTTGATTATTTCAGGCCGAAACAGAGATATCATTGCTTAAACAGGAGAAGTCACGGCTTCAGATAGAAGTATGTTATGCTAGACCTGGCAACCAGCCCTGCATTTGTCCTCATTCAAAATGCTTTTGAATTTTAAAATATAAGATTCCATGAAGGTCATTTATTGCTGCTTAAAAAACTGCAGCAAGTTCTGCCAAATGCAATGTGCCATGTTGAACATATAATTAAAAAGATGTTCGATTTCTGTTTGGTAACTGTGCGTGTGTTGAAGGAGTTTTTTTTTTTTTTTTTTTTTTTTTTCTAGTTCGTGTCAAAACGCCAGCTCTACTGGCAAATGTTTGTTTAAATTGACGTCTCCTTAATAATAGCCAATTTGCTTTGGAAACAGTCTTTATCAGCCACATGTATTTATGTTGGTTTATTATTTTGTTATACTGAAATTGATGGCCCTTTTTAATTGTCTTCAATGAAATGAGCTTTTTTTTTTATAGACTAGATTTGGAATATTTGGTTGGGACTTTTGTGTTAGAAGTAGCTGTATTGGATGGAGCATGTGAACCTCCATTGTAGTTTACTTTACAAACTTTCTCGATTGAATGTATTATTGTTTCTAATATGTTTTTTAATGTTAATATAGCTGGAAAGTGTTTTAAAGTCTGCCAAGGAGGCACAGGACTTGTTGCGAAGTCAAACTGATAGTGCCAGAGCGATGATGTTGAAGGATGAAGAATTCAAGTCACTGCAGATTCAGGTGCAATTCAAATGTCTGTTGGGATTAGTGGATTACATTCTGTCGCATTGCTATGTTGCTTTAACATGGTTATTGGGGATCCCTGGTTATTGAATGTATTTTAGCCTTATTAGCTTATTTGTTATTTTTTCTTTGAAATGGCTGACCTCAGGTCAGAGAAGTTAACTTGCTTCGTGAAAGCAACATACAACTTAGGGAGGAGAATAGGCACAATTTCGAAGAATGCCAGGTAAGATATTAAATTGGTAATGTTTCATTGCTGGTTTATATCTATATTTGCATTACTATTTTTTATTTTAATTTTGTATGTTCAGAAATTCCGTGAAGAAGCTCAAAAGGCTACAATGGAATCTGAGAGGTTGCAGAACCTTCTACTGGAGAAGCAGGTAGAGGTTGAAATGTGCAAAAGAGAACTAGAAATGCAGAAGGCAGAAATAGCAAATCTCAACCAAAGGATTTCGGAGGTAAGTTTTAGTGACAAAATATCATGAAATTCCTTTGCTAAGAACAGCAACTGTGGCTTTTGGTCCCAAGCATGTTTTAGTCCATGGTTTGTAATATGCAGGTTATTGCCATAAAAATCCTAACATTGTAAGAAAACAATATATGCATAGAAATCTACATATTAATTCATTTGATTCTTCATATGTTTGAGTTCTGCACTTGTGTATTAATGGTTTTTTTTGGCAGCTGATTGAAAATAGCAAAGGCATTGATTTGAACACTTATGAAGCCATGAAGAATGAACTTCAGAATATCAAAGTTTGTCATCTGTTTTCCTCTTCTTTTTTCTTTCTGATGATGCCATTCTGAATGTTTCTTGGTACATGATGTTTATACAATTGAATTTGGTCTTCTGCACAAAGCAGTTTGATGTCTGTCATTTTTGTCTAGTTTGACCAAACATTTAATGAATCACTTTAGTGCCTTGTTTCCCTATTTTATTCGAATTATTTTTATACCACTTTACTTCCTTTGTCGTGAGTTCGTGGCATAAACTGTATGGGCTTCTGCACTGTACTTCTCTGTATTACGATTATTATTGTTATCTTCTTTTGGATGGTGGGCTGGTGGCTTACCTTGGGTGAAAGTGATTGTGCAAGTCTCTGTAGCTGTACATGAGTCATTAAGTGTCTAATTTCATTAGTGGTATGGTATTGGATTGGATTTCCTTGACTTTTTCGGGGTCATTTTATGCATCTTATTATCACATGCATAATTATCGTTTTCAACAGTCAACCTTGAGAGAGAATTCTATGGAGCTTGAAAGTGCAAAGAAACTGGTTTCCGAGAAAGAAGTTGTCATAAAAAATTTGGAGGATAAGCTTTCTGTATGTCAATCTGAATTGGATTCCAAGGAAAAGAAGCTGAATGATGTAGAGGTGAGAATAATTCAAAATTTTAACACTAATATATCAACTATGTCGCTGTAGTACTTATAATCTTACCCTATTGTAGGCCTCCCTTAAATCTGAGATTGACAAGTATAAGAAGTTTAATATCAACTTAAAGGTTTGAGTTTTTTTTCACTTTCTAGTTGCAATATTGAATAACTATTTTTGTGTATTCATGTGCCTTCTCCCATTTTAAATGCTCCAGAAAAAGCATGACCACCTGATGAAGGAGAAGGGAGGGATCGCTAAAGAAAATCAAAGCCTTGTAAAGCAGATGGAGGATCTTAAATCAAGTACTCCCACACTGTTCCTTTTGTAGTTGCATCTTATTCTTTCCCACTTGAGCAAACTTTTGAATAGTTTCACGCTAGTTGCTGCAAATCTAATATACTTTAGCAGGTCAGAAGACAACATCGGAAACAACACTTGAGCAGGCTATAAAAGAAAAGGATTTCAGGATACAGGTTAGCACGTTTTGCTTAAATGGTACCCAAAATATTCTTGAGCCTTTAACTGAAACATGTATTAACAGACATTAGAAAGAACCCTGGAAAAGGAGAGAGATGATAACAAGAAAGAAAAAGCTAAGAGTAGAAGGAACGAGAACACAATCTTTGGTGCTCTTCAAAAGGTGCAACAGGTACATTCGTTCATAAAAGAAGTATCTTATTACCGTATGGTAATACATATTCAGTTTAACAGTATATTTTGGCTGTGTTAGTTTTTACGACCTGTTTGGATAATGGGACTGAATTTCACGCAATTAAAGTTTTATGTGCCTTAATGAACTTAGGAGGAACTAGGTGGCATTTTACATAAGATTATAAGAAATAGGCTCCCAAATTCTTTGCTTGTCAACTCCTCCGTCTGATTATACAATATATGGTTGTCCTAAAAAGTGTGTTAGTGAAATATCATTGACTTTTACCATTGATTTTTGAACGATTTCGGTTGGTCATGTGGGTGTGTTAGCATTTGATTTGTTTTGAAGAATAATTGTACAATGTAGAATATTTTTTTAATTTTACTCCCTCCGTTCCAAGTTGTAGTTTCCTAGTGTAGGGCTTCCCCTATGTATCCATCATGTACTTTATACATAACAGTACCCAATGGATCTCAATACAATTATCCAATTTAGTCTCTTATTATTGTATCGTGATATTAGAGCTCTAGGTTTTGTGATCCTTGCCATCAGGCTTGTTTCGTTTCAATACACTGCATGCACTGCTGCTCCCTCTCTATCTGGCTCACCATCCGGCTTGTTACGAAACCAGATAAGCTGAGAAGCCGGCTCCCCCAACACTTCCCGGCTAGGCTATTCCCCTGCTCCTTCCTCTATCCACTCCATGCACTGCTGTTCCCTCTCTCTACCCTCAGCCAGGCTGACGCCAGAGAATGAGCTGAATATCTTGACGGGATGTCTCCCTCTGTGCTGCGCCACCATTGGTCGAGCCTGCCTGAGATCCCTTCAATCACCAAGCTGCCCTCCGCCGCGTAGCTCTAATCGGCCAAGAAGACCGACAAGGTTGAACTCCTTGTTCCCGCAAGCTCAGCTCAGCAAATTCCTCGATTTGGGGTTGCTGGGGTTGGGGTTTCATGGGTTTTCCTCGATTTGGGGCTATGAGGATTAGGACTGGAGAAAAGGGATGACAAGTGAGCCCACTCCCAAAAGGCTATAAGCAAAATTTGGAAGCCCAAGCACCATGACTTTTTGTGCAGCAGCTTGTCAAAAAGTGACTTCTCCTGGTAGCTAGAAATAAGCAGCATATGCATAAGTTTAAGCTGTGGCAAACAGACCCTATATTGCTAGTACATTTACAACATAAAATTAGTTCTATTAAATCCACCATGGAAAATGTCTTGATACTGCGTTTATTTGGTACTAGCAAATATGCCTACGCGTTGCAACAAGACGTACAATTTATTGCGCGGCCATGCCTTGATGTGAGTGGTGCGGCGCCAGTGAAGGTCTTGCAGCTCCAAACTCAAAGCTAGAAGGGTGAGAGGGATGAAGAGGGGTGAGGAAGGGACAGATCGATGAGAGTGGGAGACGGAAGAAAGAATTTTTTTGCTCTTTAATATTATGTATAGATTGTAGATGAACTTGTCAAAGTTAGATAAGTTTGACTTAGGACAAACTAAAACTTCGCTTACATTGTGTAAAGAGAGGGACTATATTACCATTTTTCTGAAACATAGGGACCAAGTTGCAAATTTGACTGTCCTTGTTCAAAACGTTATATTTTGTGGGTCCCCTTTGATTGAAGTACTGATTGTAAGTATTGATTTACAGGACAAGAAACAACTGGAAGAGTCTATAGAGAAGCATAAGCAGGCTGTGAAAGAGTTGATTGAGGTATACTTTTGAATGCACTTTTGATGCCAAGTTACTGGACAAATGTTTCAAATACATTTTGTCTTTGATGTACCTTCTATATCATAACTGAAAGTTACAACACATTCTTTTTCAGAATTATCCTGGATTATCATCTGAAGTGCCACCTGTCTCTGCACTAGAAGAGCAATTTCTTTCATACTTCCGTGCAGCTAAAGATATGGAGGAATCTTCTAGTCCCTTCCGTGATGGTGCAGCGACTCAAACTCCAGTTGTTGAAACTGCCCCTGTGGATGCATCTACTTCAGCTGCAGGTGATTCAGTATTCATTTGGTCATGACATTGCTGGCATCCTATTCAATAGTGGACACAATGATCAATGCACTGTCTTCTGAAGCATTTGATGTCGTTTCCTATGTTATGACGCTTGATCCTTTACTCTTCTGGTCAATGTGGGAGCTCATAAGTCGTTCAGTTGCAGGACGTCCAGTAGATACTCCGCCAAGGCCAGCTAAAGCTAAAATGACGGAAGATAGAGCAGTTCCCAAACCAAGCACTGAAGTGCGTAGGCCTGGAGGAAGAAGACCCCTTGTTCGTCCTACTCTACAAACTGAAGAACCTCATGCTGATACAGATGCATCAGCTGTTGATGCCTCCACTGTTGTTCAGGACAAAGGGGGGCCATCAGTAGAGCGTGAAGCTTCTGGCATTTTACCTATGTTACAGCCTTCGAGTCGTAAACGGCTTATCTCATCTTCACAGACGATAGACAGTGCCTCACAGTGTGAGGCTAATGATGCCAATCCTCCATCTAAGAAGCCCAAGGAGGAAGAATCTTCACAAGGGACTAGTGAGCTCAAAAGTGGTCAACCACCTCTTGGGGATGTAGCAGCACAGGTTGGTGTGCTTCCAGCCACTGATGACCTAGATGGACAACAGCCTACAGAAGAGATTGGTACTGATCAGCCATCTGTGCCATTGGTAGAGGCTGAGGCAACAAGGGAGGATGATGTGGGTGATAAAGATGACTCTGGAGATGCATTGATGGACATCAAAGGCCAGGATGCTGATGTTAATATTGACGCAAATGCAATTCCCGTAGAAGATGAGCATGTGGTGGCAAAGTCAGAGGCAGTAATTGAATCATTTGACGATGACCAGAAAACAGAAGATTCGAAGGAAGATGCTCAGCTTACTACTGCAACTGATGTTGACGATGATATGGAGGAGGGAGAGTTGCCAGAGGAACCTGAAGAGAAGAGTGATGTTGATATGTCAGAGATTGAGGGTGAGACTACAGCTGAGCGTGCTGCAGTGGAACCAGACCAAAGTCCTATAACACAATCTGGTGTAGCTGATGCCTCACCAAGCAGAACTGCAGATGCATCTGCTGCACGTGAACCTTCCCCTAATCCAGTCCAAGCTGGTGCAAGTTCTCGGCCCCAGAATACTAGCACTGCAACAGAGGCACGTGAACCTTCAACTAATCCAGCCCAAGCCGGTGCATCTTCTGAACAGCGGAACACCAGAACAATCATCAACTTTGAAAGGGCCAGGCAAAATAGGCAAGCCAGGTTTCAGCGTTCACAGCAACCTGCTGGTGCACAACAACCTGCCGCTGCTCGGGGTCGTGGCCAGCAATCTGTTACACTCAGGGTATGGTTTCCTCGTACTTGTTCGTTTCAGTTGTGTGCCTATATCCAACATTAAGCTGTTTCGGGGTTGCCTTTCATTTGCAGAAAGATGCTGCGGGTCGAGGATCAAGGGGCCGTGGGGGGCGTGGTCAGTAAAAGTAGATTGTCTTATCTCGTGCACGGATAATTTTGCCCATGGGGATACAGAGACCACCTTGTGTTTTTTATTAAGAATTTTGTGCCTCATTGGCTCCTACTAAATGTGCCCTGACCTGTATGCGAATCCTTGTGGGTTCTGCGACAGCTACTTTTAGTCCAAACTCAGTGTTTGTAAAGGCATCTTACCACAGCCTGAATGGCTGTAACTTGGGGCACTGGGCGGGTCATGTCACATGTGATACTGATTTGAGAGGTGTTTATACAGGGTGCAAGAAACATAGACCTCAGCAAGGGTTTAAAGATTTTGGAGGTTGATTAACAATATAACTATTAGGATTAACAATGTTTGCTAGTATAGAAGATATCTAGTTATATGGATGATACTATAACAATTTCGGAGTATTATATAAGATATTCAGTCATAGATACAAAAAAATGGAGTTAGGCTAAGGTGCAGATATCAAGGATAGTCATGAAAACTTTAGAAGACAAGCAAAAAGCTGAATAAGGTAAGCTCGGTTAAAAGACAAATAATCCAACTTAGAAGGTAAGTCGATAAGTCATAGGAGAAAGCCCAGAGCTTTTCGGTGAGCAGAGAAGTATTAGCAGAGATGTGGGGTTAATCCGTGGCAGAGATGAAGTGAGTGGGATGGTAATGGGTTTCTGCCCATACCTATCAGATTTTTTTTATCCACCCATACATATTAGATATTTTTTTATCCACGAAGAAACCCATGTCCATGTGTGGGTGCAATTTCCTGCCTATGTTTATGCATGTAGTGGACATATCCACGCTTATCCATGCCCGAGAAGAAATGTAACATATGTATCAAACAATAGCTGCATGAGAAAAATAATAGAACAACAATTATATATAAATGTAATGGAAAACTAATTGTCACTTCTTATATGGCACTAGTTGTGTTAGTCGGGCCATATTTTAGAGTAGGAAAAAGTCTACTTAACCTTCTCACCTTTCATACATGGTCTACTTCACCCCCAATTATGAAACCATCTGTTTTACCCCCTGAACTTTTCAAAACCATCTATTTTATCCCCCGGGTGGTTTTTAACAGCGAGTTGCTACAGTAACGGTGGGTTGCTAGAGTAACGGTGGTTTGAATTTTCTTTTTTTAATTTTATTTCCGGTGAATTTTTGAAAAATCATAGTAAATCATAGAAAAATCATAAAATGAAAAATCTAATTTTATTGGACTCCACATGAGTAGATCTACACAATGAATATATAATACGGTATGCTTTAGTATAAAATTTTTACTGTAGCCTTAGATTAATTGGAAAATCTAATTTTGTCTGTAATTAATTGGAATAATTCATAGCTGCAGCTTCTATGGTCCAATTGTGGTGAAATTTTTATGGTACGCTAATTGTTGTATACTTGAACTATAGTAAAAATTGCATACTCATTGGACTATGTATAATTTAGTTATAGATAAATTCTAATTAATTACAGAAAAATTGGATTTTTCAATTAATCTAAAGCTATAAAAAAAATTTGTACTAAAGCATACCGTATTATATATTCACTGTGTAGATCTACTCATGTGGAGTCCAATAAAATTAGATTTTTCATTTTATGATTTTTCTATGACCTCCAATAAAGCAAACCCGCTGTTACTGTAGCAAAATCGCTGTCAAAAACCCACCGGGGGGGTAAAATAGACGGTTTTGGAAAGTTCAGGGGGTAAAACAGACGGTTTCATAGTTGGGGGGTGAAATAGACCATGTATGAAAGGTGGGGTGGTTAAGTAGACTTTTTCCTTTTAGAGTATGTTAGGTTGGGAGATGGCTTTAAATTATAGTTGGAAGATAGCTTTAAATTATAGTTGTGCTTAACTCCATCAAGTGATACACCATTTCATGTGTCTGAGTTAGCATTTTTCAACCATTTTGAAAGATTTTTCACTTGCATCTCACAACGTCACTAAGTATTATGAATATGCAAATGAAATCACAGCTTGTGGCACTAGATAACCATTCTACTTGAGAGCTTCCCTCATAATATAATGGTTATCTATCATAAACCTGATCATACACTCTATTGCATCTTGACCGGCAAAACAAAGAGCTATATCTTATACCTTTGCCTTCAATCCATAGAGTTTTGTTTTTCTCTCTTCTTTTGCTAGAATTGAGCACTTGATCAACTTGTGGCCACCTCTTATCTCCTCTATGAGTGCCATCTTGCTCAGTCTTGGTGTGCACATAACCTATCTCAATCACAACACTTGGGATAAAGGTTAGTCCACTAGTTGTCTCAATTACCGAAACCAAACATAAGGCTTTCATTAGGCTAGTTAGAGGCCGCTTTATCGTTTGTTCTAGGTTTAGGCTTAGTGTTTAGACAGTTTAATGAGTACATACCTCCTTACTATTGGTGCTTGCACGCACCAGGAGTTATATGTGCCAGGCTAGTAATATTGCAAGATAACACTAACCGAGGCCTTGGCATTTTGTCCAAGGCCTCTTCATAGTGAAGACGACAAGGAATGGTTAGGGAGAGGTCACACGGAGGCCCGTGGGAAAGACTCATGGGTTATCTACGGAATTATCCAACCGCGGAGCCTAGATCTTTCGAGGACAATATTGTGAGGCTCTACAATGAGAACTAGTGAAAAAGCCTGAACTTACCAATATTGCGGGGAAAATCATTATGCAGTAGTTTGCATTCTCTAATTCAATCTATGTTTTCACATTTACTCATTGCATTCCTTTGTAAGTGTTTTACCTTCCTAGTCTAACTTTTTAGGTTAATTAGTAGTTTAGAACGTACTCTCCGTGTTCCAAAATAAGTGCATATCTCGTTTCTCGAGGAACCAAATATTTAAAGTTTAACTAAATATATATGCAAAAGGTAATAACATTTACTATGGATAATAAGTATCATTAGATTGTGGAATATATTTTCATATTAATTGTAGAATGTATTTGCATAATAAATTTATTTAGAGATTCATTGATATAATAATTTCTATATATCTAGTTAAACTTAAAAAAAGTTTGACTCCTTAAGGAGTGAGGCATGCGGTTATTTTAGGATGGAGGGACTAAGATGTAAAACAAAAATTGTGCTACATATAACATTTAGAAAAATATAGTGCAAATCTAGCAGCCTGTTCGTTTGGCTGTGGCTTATCGTAAACGATCGTAAATTTCCAGCCGGAACAGTATTTTTCTCTCACACAAACCAACCAGTAGTACTTCTTCACGAACCAGCAACGATACGAACCAGCCAACCGAACAGGCTAGATAGAACTTATGTGTGTTTCATAAGTGCCCTAACTCAAGCGTCGTCTCGTCTGAACTCATCTTTTGCTGTATTCGTGGCCATTGCCTGATTTGTATTTTTGTTCTGTTTGCCAAAAATAAATGTACGTCCGGTACTTGCATCCCAGAGTTTTTGGCTGGGGTAAACATGGTGCTGATTTTGCCATTGATTAAGTCAGGAAGCTGTTGTTACGTATCTTGTTACGTATCATGCAATTCCACTAAATTTACTTCCTTTACGTACACTCTCGAATGCTAAAAATCTGCACCAGAATACAGGCATGTACAAAACGAATTCAGAAAGGCAAATCTGAATGACTCAGATGCGCCATGCTATCCCACTACTCTATTTTACAGTTATAGGCCGAGGCTATTTTAATCCTCCCGTAATGGCAAAACAATATGGCCTCCCGCTCTTGAGATGCTAATAAATCACCAGCCATAAGCCGCAGTAGCCAGCCATACTGCAGGTCCTCTTCTTGCATGTTATTGCTTCTATACCACAGTCATCATCAGTCCTGCATCTGTGGCTAGCGTGTGCATCTGGTACATGACACGCACTCTCCCATGGGGTGCCAATGCTTTTCCGGAAAATTGTCTCCGGACAAACTTGAGACGATAATGCGCTCACGCGAATTGGTTGGATCTCATCCTGCAGAGGTTCTTGGTGTCATATGCGATGCCAATATTTTCCTAGATCAACTAATCTGAAGACCAATACTCATGAAAGGAGAACTTAAGGGATGGAGCCTGAAAGAAGAAAAGGCACCTTAACAAATGTCCAATTGCTGGGAACATATGCTGCAGGAAATTTCTCATGCCATGTGCTTCTTATTGGAAGAGGGTGCCCCTCTGTTGTAAATATGTAATTTTGATTCCTCAAGAATGAATCATCATACAGAAGAAAAAGATATTTGCACCTGCAAGTTATTAATTAGAATGTTAAGTAACTGAGTTATCGATGTGGGGTTCGTGCCCCACCATTGAGTCAAGAAAAAGAGAGACTTTCTGATGTGCATGAAGTATTTTCCTGCCAACTGCTTCAAACAAACAAGAGGAAGACTGTTAGCTTACGTTTCTGAAAGAAAGAAGCTGTGCTGATGATCTTCAAGTTTCATTGTTGAAACATCTCTGACGCTAGCAAAACCTCCATCCACTTTAGTATAGTAATTAAGTGATCCAACAATAGCTTCACCCACTTCTAGGTACCAAGGATCTATAAGAGAAGTGATTCAGAAATCTGGGAATGGAGAAGAAAAAAGAAAATTTCTACAATAAGAAAATGGCATGATTACAAAGAACAAGTCATATATGATGAGCTCAAGAGGACAGGAAACCTAGATGAACACATGAGAGCTAGATAAAGATAAAACGAATATATTCTTCTGGGGTCTGTTGGGTGCACCTTTAGTAGCTTGATAAAGATAAAATGTTGACTCAGCAAACTCAGGACGCAAGGGATAGTACTTCTCTGTAGGATGCATCATTCCATAGTCCAAAAGATATCTATAAAATATAAAACATACATCAATGCATGTATCTAGATTATGCTTCATCTCTCTTTTTTTTGAAAGATTATGCTTCATCTCTAACTGAAATAGTTTTGTCTTATTAGACGTGTGTACTTTAGTTTTCCATTAACGAAAACTTGGATGAAAACAGTATACCTTTCAGGTAGCACACCAAATCTTTGCCATATATTGTAAAACTCACGGTGTGATAGATTTGCAGCAGTTACGTCTCCCAGCAGTGTCTGCTCATTATAGTAGAACTAAGCAAACAATAAAAAAGTATCATCCAAAAGTAATCCATGGAGTTCAGCAAACCTGAAGACCTGGCCAAAAGGCCTGAAGGCTAGTTAGCTGCCAGTGTGTTGCTTCTCCAGTCCTCATATCAGCCTCATGATACCTGTAGAGTTAACAATCATTACTATTTCAATACAAGCATACTCCTGAGACAGACAAGGTGGGTGAAATGAAGTGCAGGAAGAATTGTTCACCATGGACCATGTCGGAAGTACTTCTGCACTGCAAGATAAGCTGAATGAAACATATCCCAGTACTCGTCACTTCCGAAAAGAATATATGCTTTAATCAGATACTCATAAAATGAATCAACACCTGCAATCATGTTACTAGAAATCACTATTATGCCTTAAAAGGTATATTTTCCAATTAGACACTTCACGAAGTGACAATAATTATCTGTTTTTAGAAATGAAGATGCTAAAATGTAACAGTGAAGGCAACAGAACAGCATATTCTCTAATAATGCTACAAACACACATAAGCACATGATCAATATATCACGTGGGTAAGTATTGATAGTTTTACCAGCACCAATTCCGGATGAATACTCAATCCACTTGCCAGTTAAAACATCTAGTGTTGTGCCTACTAGATTCAGTGAACTTCTCATGCTCCATAACTTGCGGAGAGCACGAAGAGCTGCAGCTTCGTATCTAGAATCACCAGTCAAACGTGACAATACACCCATTTCAAGTATAAGGGAACCTGTAAGCATGTAGATTAGTAAGCAACAACCACAACGGAATATGCATTTATACCTAGAAATGGCGAACCCAAATTCTTCCACCTACCACACCCTGATGTGCTTGTTTCAGTTGTTTCATTTTCCATCACTCCGTACTGAAAAGGTTGTTGTATGATCAACAAAAATATTTTTACAAACATAAGGTCAAAAGCTATGCCAATTGACAAGTAATAGTACCAGATTTCTAATACATGTGAACTTTGAGTTTTCCAAATGAAGTAATCGTTCAGTGGTTCTTCATTCTACCATAGCATGCTTATAATTTGTCACTCTTATCATTTTAGATGTTAGCAATCAATGTCCCAGTTGTCCTAAGGTAAACATTGATAGATGTTAACATTGTGCCTAATGAGCATGCTTGTCTTAATAACTATACACAGGTCCTTTCCAAAAATTATTGGAGAAAAAACTTAAGGTTTGTTGAAGTCTGCTTTCAGACAAATGTGGTAACTCTTTGAAGAAGATCCTTTCTCAGTTTGACCTGTTGAATGTACACAGATTTGTACAAACAACAAATGAGGTTATTCAAGTGGCCATACGATTTCAAAGCTTTTGTCTTATTTCACACAGGTTGTAAAGGGAACATTACGATTGATCCATGCATACAATAATTTAGGCTTTTAAAGTCTGAGAAAAGACAAAGTTGGTATATGAACCTTAAGATTAATCCATGCATATGGCAATCCAGTAGGTGTCTCAAATGCCGGTAGAAAACGATTGCCTAAACTGTCAGCAAGATGTAGTAATTGATCCTGATACAGTCCATGTTTAAACTGGCTGCTGTAGTCTTTTGCAAGAATATGAGCAGAAATAAGCCCCCCAAGAAGTCTTATGTTACACTGAATAGAGAAAAAAAAAGAACAATGAGAAAAGGCTGCTTTGGTTCTTGAAATCCTGTGTGGTAACAGTGAAAATAATCAAATAGCATTACCTCAAAAAGATTAATCCGAGCATCAACATCAAATGTCAGATTTTCTGAAAGCCAGAGAACTCCTCTCTCAAACTCTGTGAGGTTACCTAAGACAACAAGACTGCATGAGCCAAACAGAGAGGCATCACATACCAATCTTATGAATAGAAGTGTACTAAAGAAAAATACAAAAGTTTACATCTTGAACAACAATGGACAATATAAATCTCAAAGCACAAAGAAACTAGAAACATTACAACTTCATAAAGTGTACCTTGATAATGACTCAACCAGTGTCAATGCGGATCCACTATAATCCTGTGGCAAGTGTTCAAGCTACAAAAAAAGGAATAAAGGGTAACATTAAGTTGTGGTACTTTAAGCTTATATAATACAAACTAAAATCCTTAAAGTTGTCAATACTTTAATACATTTAAGTTGCCAAGCTCACTAAGTGAGTCCGTGAAACTTTTAGTAAGAGGCTTCAATTCATCATGCTGAAAAGGTATCAAGAAAGAACATTAGCTCGTGCTAGTCAATGACCAATTGAACAAAAGTAAAGTGGCTGCTAACATACAGGGAATGCATAAGTCATGTAGTTGTCATAGGCATGGTAAAACCTGAAAGGAATGGAAGTATATCAATACCAGAACATATTTAAACATGGCAATGAAGCTAAGGCCTATAAGAGGCCAGGCTTCCTAGATAGGTCTTAACGCATGGCTACCCTGTCACACGCCTTTGTGGGTCATTACTTACAGCACTGGATCTTGATAGCGGCAACAATACAAATGTTAGCACCTTTAAAGTGGCTAGGATATGTTGGATCCTTTCATCAGGCATGTTCGATGCCCTAGAATCTTGACTGACAACACTAAATGTGCCAGCCTATCACATATCATTGTAATAGCATCGATGATCCATGAAGATAGATTCGCGAGAGGGTATGCAACAGTGCTCTGCCTTGGAAGCATAAAACTGAAGATGTCAAATTGACCAACTTCTACAGTCTCTTGGTCTTTAATAACATCAATTTGGAAGAACTTTAAAGTCAACTCATTTCAGAAGAAGCTAATCATCGAAGAAAGAACAAAAGAACGTCAAATAATAGTGCTACTAGAGGCTAAAGCTCAAAGTGCTGTCAGATTTTGCCAACCACGTTGGCATAGAACTTTTGTTCCGAGGTGTGTCACCCCAATCCTAGGCCAAAGACACGTGAGCTCGAAATGTTAACATTTGACCCAACAAATCGAAAAAGATTAGCATTGTACTCGTCAAATGTTAACTTGTAAGGATTCGTTTCACGACTTCAGTTCAGAACTCGTCAAATCAGAAGAGCTAGCCTTTGTGTTTACAGCATCACGTAGACAGCGCTGGATACACCACCCAAGGCGCCCACAACAAGATCCGTCAGAAGAAAGATTGCGAACGGCGAAGACGGGAGGGATGAAGCACATGGCAGCTGAGTACTCACATCTCCAGGACCTTGTTCTTCATGTGCAGCCTCCTCGCCCGCCCGTACCCATCGGCGCCGACGGCGCCCCCGGTGAGAGCCGCGAGGAGGAGGGCAGCCACGACGAGCCGCGCCGGCGCTGGGAGGCACGGCCCAGGGGATCGCATGGAGGCTTCCCGCAGTGCGGGTAACAAGGGACGATGAAGAAGGCTAGCCGGGCTGGGCTGGTGGAGCGCTGGTGGGGATCGGGTTCGCCTCAGAAGTTGAGAGTTCAGACGGGTCTGATCGAGAGCGTAGCTGCGTAGCGGTATTTGCTAGGAAGCCCCCTTATGTTGTCCCTGCAGTGCCACCGATGCCTCTTGTTTTTTATGAGCTCGTAGAAATTGTGAGCCCGGAACACTATGTTAACAGATTAATTCACTGATGTTCAAAAGTACATGATTTACACATGTGTATAGCAAGTCTAGGGAAGGCAACACAAGGAGATGGGAGCGTCCAGGAGAATATTAGGTGGACACTTGGGTGACAAATTAAGCATGAGAACAAATTTATCTAGGTGATAAATCCAACAATTTTATACCATTATTTCTTTTTATACATATCGTCGCATCGTTTCTCGACTTAGGTGTGATCCATTGCCCTGTCGTATAGTCTTTATGCATGTTTTTTCATATGAAACATGCTAATATTAACTGTTATCCTTCTTTTAATGTATCAATCACAAAGCTATGGGCATTGGGCACTACAGCTTGTTAGATCTCCTCCCAAGTTTCTTTGTGCACTTCACATTGTTACCATCAATGATCACTTCCTGCTTGCATGCTCTTTTAATAGTAGTGCCGCTTTTGTTTGAGTCTACCGCAATCTGCGCCATATTAACCGGTTTCACCATTTCACACCATCTATTTAAGGTCCTTTCTCTTGCGTATGATTGGTCACCTCTATGTCTACCTCCACCGCTAGGTTCATTTGTTGCCAATGATCTCCCTCTAAACCTAGATAAGAAAACTTACTTGAAAAGAAAATTACGTGAATCAATTGAACTTCATGTAAGGTTCGTTTTTTATATTAGGTTGTTTTTACTTATTTTTAAGTTATTGTATCCATTTTTTTAAAGAACTAACAATTTTATAAAGTTTCATGTAATATTTATGCTGCGCTTAATTTTGCTTTCCCCAAATCATGAAATGAAAACCTGTGTACACATAGCAATGTACGCAAGGCGGCGCGCACTAAAACAATTTGCCGGCTTCAGAACCAGATCATCTATGACGTGCACGCCCACGGGACTAGCCAATCACAAGCGCGCAGACATGCTGCCGTGGCCTGTGTCCTTGTCCGCCAAATGTCACAAATTAAAAAACGGTCTGTTTGTTTTTTCAAAAAAAAAAAAACGCTCTGTTTCTCAACATTTATTTAGCAAAAAAATCATGAGAAAACAATGTGATAATCTGCGTGAGTTATATACATGATGATGAATAAACTGGCAAGACGATCAAAGGACAAAAAAAACGAATTAATTTATACTAGCAACAACATTTCAAAGTTCCTTTTTTTTTCCGCAGCACACAGATTAGGAATAAATAACTTGATCGAGCAGGAAACATATCACATTTCCACACAAAATGTTAACACCATCGTGACCGCCGCAGGAGGAGCAGAGAGGTCCTGGAGCAACGCGTCGTCGTCGTGCCACACACAGCTCGGCCGTCGATCGATCGGCAGACAAGCACGTGCGCGCGCCGTCGTCGTACCACGCGCAGCGTTACATCTTGGGCATGGCGCCGCCGCCGAAGGTGCCTGGGATGGCGGGGCCGCTGTTGTAGGCGTCGCAGCGCCGCCTGACCTCGCCGTCGGCGCCGGTCTTGACGCCGAACAAGCTGAGCTTCTCCATGGCGCGGCCGAAGTCGGTGAAGAAGGCGGTGGGGTTGGAGGCGTAGAGCTGCACGAGGGGCTTGGTGCGCGGGTCCGTCCACAGCTCCTCGTCGGTGCTGAGCAGGCCGAGGCCGCGCTCCAGGTTGACGAAGTACATGTTGTCGAACTTGCCGGGCGTCATGATGTCGTTGAAGGCGGCGATGGTGGGGTCCTTGAGGTAGTCCTTGCACACGTCCTGCAGCCCCCTGGCGTAGGACGGGTTCATGCTGGGGTCGAACGGCTCCGGCTTCCCGCCCTGGTTGCGGAAGTTGTAGAGCCGGTCGGCGAACTCCTTGCAGTGGGAGAAGCCCAGCGTGTGGGCGCCCGACAGCGCCACCAGCTCCTGCACCGTGAACCCCTTGGCGCCGAACATCTGGATGAGGCGGTCCATGGTGAAGTTGGAGTGGGGCAGCTCGATGTCGGGCGCCGTGGGCGACGACGACAGCGAGTCCTTGCGCCCCAGCGGGATCGGGTAGCGGGGCCCGCCGGTCATGGTGATCAGCACGCCCGACGCCAGCGCGAGGATGTCGGCGCAGGACACCACCCCGGGGCACTCCAGCTCCAGGGCCAGCTTGGCGCGCACCACGGCGTCGAAGGCGTCCCCGGGGAGGGAGTGGTTGATCTCCGCATCGTGCTCCGACTTCTGGAACTGGGTGGACGCGATCAGCACCGACGCGTCGCACCCGCTGACGAAGCAGTCGTGGAAGAAGACGCGGAGCACGCCCGCGGCCGTCGTCGGGTTCGCCATCTGCTTCGTCTGCATCACCTCCGCGATGATCCGCTCCGCGCGCGGGCACGACTGGCTGTAGAAGTCCGGCTTCAGAGCGCCCACGGCGCCGCCCGCCGGCGCCGGCAGCTGCGCCGCGGCGCGCGCCGAGAGGGCGGCCACGAGGAGGAGGAGGAGGGACAGGCGCATGATGGCTGGTATCTCGTGCTGGTGCATCGCTGTGCGTATGGATAGCTCTTGGCTGATGGGTTCCCCTCCTAACTTTTGGAAGCGTGGGTGTGCAGGTCCAAGAAATGCGAGGAGCGGCCGTTCTTGGAGGCAATGGAGGGGGGCGAACGGAGGCGGGGGAGTGGCGGGGAGAGGTTTGCGGTGGACACAACCGAAGAACAGGAGTTGTAAAAGGTGGAAAACGGTCGCTGTGCTGCTTGTAACGTGTGTCTCTCGTCCTGGGTGGTCGTTACTACATTTAGCAAATGCCAAATGCTATCGATTTGTGTTGTGCCTGGGAAGTGGGAAGCCGTACAAATTTGAATCGTCGGATCTTTTTAGCAGGTTTATTAGAAAAGGAAATATAAAAATAGGTGTAATTCCTAGTTTTAAAAACGAGGATCAGAAAATCACACTATTAGGGTGCAAAGACAAGATAACTTACATGAACGACCCACTAAAAATTTAATACAACTTCTCGCTCATGAGGCCCTCCATAGTGTGTTCGGAGTGATGCCTAAAGAGGAGTGAGAAAATTGAGGCATCACTTCAAACACACTGTAACCAGCGATGCTAATTCGGAGTGGTGCCAGCAAAACCAGGAGCGAAGCAAATAGAGGTACCGGTGCCGAATCTTAAAAAAGATATTTAGGTCCGAAACTATTGCTAGTCTTTGTTGCTCCAAACATAAGATTCAGAAGATGGAGTTATTTTATTTCTTGCAGTCCCCACATATACTAATGGCTTTGGTGCCAACTTTTTCAAACATTGCAGCTTCACAGTCCGATGCCCATTTGATCACCGTGAAACCCATTCATTTTTGGGCATCGATTGCACACTGTGGAGGGCCTTAAGGCAACCCTGAACAAAATCGATCGGAAACATCAGTCTAACTATCAGTTTCACTTAATCCAGCACTGACTTTACCAGGAAATTACGCCTATCACAATTACAGACCAACTATGGACCTGTATCTGTATCTAATGCTAGAAGGGAAAGGAAGCCAACATTCTTTGTTGGACAATTTGTCCGTGGGATGTGCCAAAGCTTGATTTTGTGCGGAACACATGGTCAGAGTTGATTTTGTCTCCAGCACACCATGAAAGCGCGGTTTGGTCTACGGCACAGCACACCGGATAAACTAATCATTCTCAACTAAGGGGAGGGGTACAAATTCTCTCACTTCATCATGCGATACCTGAATTTGTGACTAGCCTAGGAGAATACCAAGCTCACACAACCAGGGAGCATACTGGTTCAAATGGCTCTCCTAATATGTAGAGTTGTAACAATGTGTTCATTCGGTGTTTGAAACAGCACGAATCATCAAAACCTTGTTCCTTCATGAAGCACGACGCACAGGTTTCAACCAGCGTCGTACATTGCTAGACTGCCTCATGGAATACAGGATCAGTAGTTTAGATCGGATGGTTCAGAGCCAAGTTGGACAGTAATGTCAACACAGACATCATCAAACAAATTGAACAAATCTGAATTGGATTCTGCCATTCTGGACAGCACACTACTAAGATCCCTATTGTACATTCATCATTAACTGTCCAACTTGAGATAAATACAACAGTATCCGACTAGGGTCCCAAAACTACATGGTACATTTCTTTACACCATTTCTGAAACTGGCGAGGTTCCTGACTTTTCAGGAAACAAAATGGGTATGAATATGATCATGGGAATCATCGACAAAATGAAATGCTGCATCTTCCTGGACGTCAAATGGGAATTCCTTCCTTTTGCTTGGAGCAGAGATCTAGGGAACACCTAAAAATTAAGAACAGAAGAACAAGTGAATACTGAGAGATAGATCTTCCGAACCCCCACCCACCCACCAAAAAAATAAAGTTACATGGTACATTGCAGTTATCAGCAGGGCCTTCTCTTGTCCACTTTCAAATGAATATTGAACCACTTCTTCCTTCGAATCCGATGTTTAGGCTTTTTTTCCTTTTTATTTTTGGGACCCTCGTCATCACTTTTGGATCCCTCCATTGGCTGGCTCTTCGATTTCTTTTCCTTCTTTACAGTTTGGTCATCCTCACTTTTGGACCCTTTAGAGGGTGATTTCCCTTTGCTGCTACTGGAACTCCGCTGCAGAGTTGGGTTGTTGGTATAGGATGCATGAATTGCATTCCTTTCCTTTAGAAGCTCATCAATCTATCATGAAAACATAGAAAGTTCAGACCACAGTGAGAAGCACAAATGCCAGTTTAATGAATGCACATACCGTTTGCATTTCCTGAGCATATCTGCTAGTCATCTCAGTGAACTTTGCCAAAACCTTCCAATTTAGTGATGTGTTTTAGCATTAAATCTTTATGATAGATGGAGAACCTGCATAAATAAAATATGCCAAAGGGAACTGCATACCTCCCGATACTCAGACTCAAATTTAGACAGCTCAGATCGTTTTGCAATTATCTTTGCCTCCACGCTTCGTAGCTTCTCCTTTTGATCAGAGAAGGGTTCCGCACATACAATCTCAATAGTATAGCTCGCACTTTTGAAGAAATTGTCACCTGAAAAGTGATTGATTTTCAGTAAATTGTAATATAGTCACAAATGCCTAGATATGGTACAACAGAAAATGATATTACCATATACAGCAAAATAATGGGTTCCTGCTTTCAGTTCATTTACTTCACAAGGTTGAAAGCCATCCAATCTTTTAAAGAAAGCACTGTCAGGATCCTTCGCAGCAGCAGCCTAGTAGTAATAGGGAGCTTGTAAAAATAAACACACAAAGAAAAACAAAAAGAGGCCAAATGGCATTAATTTGTATACTCACTGAATTATTTTGTTCAAATCGATACACAGGAAAGCCTAGAAAGAACATCCCTGCAGAAGTAACTTTTCCAGTTTTTGCACTATCTTCCTGCACTAGGCTAATAGACGTTAGCTGAAATCATGCTCAGACAACATGGTAAGATCACAAAATCCCCTTATGGATAGAAGAACATTGTCAAGCAGCATACTTTAATACAAACAAGGCAATAACTTCAGAAATAAGTTAGTAACTATGATGCTCTTTCTAAATGATGCATCTGTTTTATTCTCTTTGTGATGCCCAATGTGCATCCATGACATACTATCTGTATAGTTTCTGTGTTCCCTTTACCAAAAATGGCTCAACTGAGTTACTTGGGTTGGTTCCCTAGACATGATATCTGAATCAATACTGCACTAGATTAATTCAAGGGCAGTAGATTGATATGTTTCCTACCCCATCTACACTCCTACAGTCTCCCTAAATACATAGGCAACTGCGTGATCTCTCTCAATAAGAACTGGCTTTAATACCAAGGGGAAGTAACATCCTCTCACAGCATCAAGAATTGATGGGCCAGATATTACTTCCTTTTCCTTTGTGACAGCATCTCACAACAGCTCAGGGTGTGCTCACAATCAGATTCCTTAAGCTAATTACTTAACTGTTCAATATGGAGAGAAGTGGTGTGATAGCAGCCATTTGCCCATCTCAGTGATCTGATAAATTTATAGTTAAAAGCTTCTATATGGATTTTCTTCTTAATATAATGAACTGCAGCTCTCCTGCGTTTTCGAGAAAAAAAAAGCTTCTAGATGGATAACAGAACATTTAATAATGAAGTCAAGGTACACACAGTTCATCCCCTGGGAGAGTGGGACTGTGGGAGACTCTGCAGGATAAAGTGTACGCTTGAGACCCTTGGTAATATTTCTGGACCAATAAAGGCTTCTAGATGGATTGTACATAATGCTAAGGAACATATTCAGATTTATATATACCACAGAAATATTTCCTACAGGTTATCCAATTGAACACTTATCTTGTGAGATTGAGCTAAAAAAACACAAAATTAACTTATAATGTCAGGATGAGAAATTTCCCAGCCAACGATATTAGTATATTACTGAACTGTCATAAATCATGTTGAGGGGACTTGCTTCAACCACAATACCACATCAGCTATATTTTAGAATAAACAGATGCCAAATACATCTACAGTGATAAACAAAGCATTATTGATACTAACATACTACAGTTATGGCAGTCAGTGCGCTGTAGCTACTTGGCTGTGCCCTCAAGGTTGCCAAATCAACAAGATCTAAACTTGGCACGAAAATATTTGTTTTCACATTTTTGGCGTCATATGCTTGGCAGAATGGCAGGTCATAAGCCAGTAACCAATAGAACTTTGTCTTCTTTTTTCATCTGTACTAACAAAAATGATAAGCTGGCTACACACATGCATACCTGTAAAGCAAGGCTTAATCCACCATTGTCCTCAAGCTCAAAATACAACAGCTGAAAAGAGAAGTGTCAACAAACTTGTTTTGCTGCAATTACACAATATATCGAGTGCTTGGTTTATTTAAACGTTCTACGCTGCGACAAGATCAACAACTAAAGAGAATCAGCTGATCATTTATCAAATATCGTAATTTAATAACAATGGAAGTGAAATAATATTTTCCACTAAAAAGGTAGACTTATATTCAGTAAATAAGAACAAAATAGGTTGCTTATGGAACACTACAATTAAAAGAAGACGATGTTTATCAGTTAACTAACATAATCAAGTTACATGGTCAGTTCTGTACAAAAAAAAAGGACAACATTTATTAGTGGAATGTGACATTTAGAACTGAAACACAATAACTGATGTAACATAGGAGTTATATGGTCAAACGGTCATAGAAGATGGATGAATAGTAAGTTGGCAACAAACCTTAAATTTACTTTTAGAAGTTGAATGAACTCTACAAACTAAGCCCATTTTGGCTTCTTTATCTGTTATGTCCACAGAATAAAAGTGAGCTGACTGCTTTTCTACCTGCCAACATGTGTATAAATACCAAAGTTTACTCACTGGTAAGAAAAATGAACAGATAAAGAACAAAAAGAAGCAGTTGCCAACCTTCCTACATAGAGATTTGCCCAGCTGAAGCTGAGAAATCTCTACTGATCCATTCAATGCCTCCTCTAAAACTGTTGCCGAGACAGTGGTCTTGATTGGTACACCTAGTTTGCTGCACAAATATATTACATTACATAATGAGGCAAATAATATCGAGTAAAGCAGAATAGCAGATATATCATCTTTAAGCTACCTAAACAGAGCAGCAAACACTGTATTTACAGTATTGAGACTTGATAGGTCCAGCTCCAGTTCCTGACTATCTGCTTCAATGGCCTGAACAGTAACAAAAGCATTAGTCACATGAAAAAACAGTCAGCTCAAACTGCTCAACCATGTCATCAATCACCTCAAACCCTGATGCATCATACTGGCGCCTCTTATCTGGATCTGACAGGATGTTATAGGAGAATGTGGCTTCTTGAAACTTCTCTGAGGCAACAGGGTCGTCTGAATTCTTATCTGGATGGTACCTGCAGGACAATTTTTACCAGATATATAAATACTCAAACAGCTGTACTGTCTCCATCAATTTATCAATAAACGAGATAGCTAAACAGTCTAAACTGAGCCTTGTTTTTTTTTCTTTGCAAGACAGAGCCTTGTTTTTCGTTCCAATATAATGCATGATTCAGAAGCTACCTAATACTGGTCTTTATGTGGTTCCAAAAGGAGAGGAATTTATTCAAGATAAGCAAACGATATACAGCTACTAATACTTGGAACAAAATAAGCACAAAATGCGAACTAATCTACAAAAATAATTTGAACACAGTCCTTCCCTCTGAGCAAAATAAAATAAGAGCACGCGAAGTACCGAATCCAAGAGCATTGCAGACAATACTTACTTGAGTGCCATGCGGCGGAAGGCGCTCTTGATCTCCTGCTCAGTAGCATTACGCCCCACCCCGAGCACCTCGTATGGGTCCCTCCTCTGCGCCGCCGCGCCGGCAGCCGCCGCTGAATCCCCCTTTTCCGCCTTGAACGACCCAAACTTGGGCCCCGCCATGCTCACCGGGCCACCCGACGGAACCAGTTGCCTCCCGCCACAAAAAGCTTAGGAACCCTTCGGATCTTATCAGCGGCGGCGAGGAGCTCCGGTCACGTCCACCCGCCGCAGCCGCGGCGGCGGCGGGGTTGAGCTCCCTGTCAACGGGGAGCGGCAGCCGATAGGGCTTCGCCCTCGGGGAGGCCAGCGGGCGAGCTCGGCCCGGTAGATTCGGAGCTCCTTCTAATTCGGGGTGGCGAGGCGGGGGAGAAAGAGGAGCGAGGAGACCGACGAGATGGGTGGGGGCACGAGGGAGGGAGACGCGAACGAGAGAGACGGACGAATTAAATTAGGTTCCGACAAGTGGGCCCAAACGACAGTGACGGTGCGGTGCTCCGCTCGAGCAGTACTGTGCCTGTGTACCGGGACTGCCGGTTACCGCGTCGCCGTCTTTGCCGCCCCAGAGGTTTAACCGTTAAACTGTACGGAGTACAAGTCAAATGGGTGTGTGAGCATGCACCTTTGGTCTTGGTCTTTTGTACGTATTATTGTTTTCCTTGGTAGATATAACAACTTTTTTATTGTTTTATTTAAAAGAAAGAAAGTAAATACATGTATACCTTATATAAACTCGTTTAAATCTTAGGACGTGTTCCGAAACGTTTTGGTTTTTAGTCTAGAACACAAGAATCGATTCCAAACGGTGGACTCGAGAAACGCTCCTACTAGAATTATTTTGAAACATTTATGGTTTTTACATTGCTGGATTCAAACAGCAAAAGACTGATTTGGCAAGAGAATCACTTTTGTTTCTCTATCTACGTCTTTGCTAACAATTATGTTTTCTTCAGATGTGCACCAAGTTAATATGGGTTGTATTTAAGTTGCTACTTGCCCACAAAAAAATGAATTTTTAAATATATTTTTATTTTTATTTTTAAGAAATTTATATTTTCTCATGGATCAAAAATCTAGTTAACTAGTAAAATGTTTTTATAAAGTGATTCCGATTCATCGTCCTAAACGTTTCTTGAAAAGAATCTAAAATCAAAACACTTCTAGGAGATTATGGATTTTCTAAATATAGTACTTCGACTCTTTTGTCAGGATTAGTGGAATTAGCTTCAAATAATTTATTGCACCATGTACGATGTTTAAACACACTCTCTCATGTATGTATATATGCACATAGCCACGCATTCACTCTTGCGATGCACGTACACATATCTTACCCCATTGAGCACTTTTCAAGAGCGCGAGTAGTCACCCGCCAGGCATCAATCCTAACAGCCAGAGGTGACCGAAATCGACGGCCTGATACTACAAGCCCTCCTAAATCTTAAAATCTTAAGCATTTGATTGACATTTCATCTACCACTGAAAAAGAATAGTGTCACTAATCCTGAAATAAATCAAAAAAGAATATGAACACCCCTATCGTGCTGAGTGAGGGACTCGAATCCAAGGACAGGTTCTACTATAATAAATAATCTAACTAAATGAGCTACACTTAGTTCACTATGCCTTTCTTCCCTTCCAAAACAAAACTAATTTTACTTGTCCTTTTCTGTGGAAGGAAAGGGGTTAAAGGCTGAATGTCTGCTCATGCTCAAATGTCTAAAGCAACTGTATCTGAACTGCGCGCTCTGCTTCTTTCACTGACACCATGTTCAACATTACAAACGAACATGACTTACAAAAGGGCGGTTAACAGTTAAACTCCCAGAGAAGGAAAAGTGGGCTGATTTGTATGGCAAATGGGATAAAACAAACGCTCCAATGAGCTTGCACAGCGCAGTGGTGGCTGGCAAGGGCAGCAACAGACGAATCCAACTCCATAGGATTTCAGGCTACTCTGTAGGCCACTGGATATGCACGCACATGGGGATTGGCACGGTGGGTATTTGAGATGGTAAAATCTTCCTGGGTGATATGTTTTTTTTTTTTTAAATATCCTGGACGAAAATGCATATCTGCTATCTCTGTGGAAGAACACAACGCGAAGTCGCCAAAACAGAATGCCTCTGCATTTAAACGCGCAAGTATCATCAAGCATCCAGGTATGAGTGACATTTGATGTGAAAAAATGATATGCCGGCTTGTAATGTCCTGATAGGCAAAGAGTGTTCTTCCAGGGCCGCACTGTCACCATTAAGTGAATCTCCATTTGTCTCCTGATTGAGACTGAAATGAGCTCACATGCATGCAGAGATTGCAATGTAGTGATATAGCTGGACCATCTGTATGACTGTACTGTAGCATGGCAATTGGCGAGGTAGTGGGGTTGTCAAGACTGCAGCCAGATCTGTATTTTTCCGCAAGCAACAGCCCGCTCGGAAAGAAAATCATGGGCCAGGAGAGACCCCTGCGGCGTTGGTAGCATACAGTGTGCTCCGTTTGAGGCCAGCCAGCTGGATTAGGCCCAGGAAGGCAGGAACCTGTTGCCAGAGTCAGAAGAGTTGGGCCAGGCTTTGGCTGGTGCTTGCATGAGTCCGAAATGCACATCAAGCACGATCCATGATATGTTTCCCAAAAAAAAAAAAAACACGATCAATGGTATCACCATTAGCTGACCAAGCTTCTTGCAAAATATCCCACCACCATTCAATCACAATAAGTGACGTCTTGAAGTTGTTTTAAGTTAATTGCAAACTTCGACTACAAAATAGTTTTTTATATATTGAGTTTGAATTTGAGAGTGATACAATTAGATATGTATGGTTTCACAAAAATAATACTACCGTGTTTTCGTTGACATGGCACAACTTGATATGGGACGGTCTCCAAATTACACTCTGATCAATTATTTATTTTATTTTATATAGTTTTTTTATAAACTTATGATAATTTGATAGTATATTTGATTACAAATCTAGTCGTAGCAAGTTTGTATTATAATAGTTAAAAAATATTAGCTAAACTATTGATTGAAGATTTTAAATTTGAATCTTCATATGATGTGCGCCTCATAAAAGAATATGGAGGGAGTACATTCACAGAATCTGGTCAAACCTTCAAAACTACAAACATAAATAAATATTACATCCTATACTTTAGAAACATATAGCTTATGTATGTGTATATATATTTAAAATGCTAGTAAAATATGAACTTTAGACCGGTTGACATCGAAGCTTGAGGCAGCATTGCACATGTAAGCCATCAAGCTTTCATGGCTGCATCACTCGTGTAAGGTGTCGACACTATCGCTAGGCCTATTAGTAACCAGCAATCAGTTTTCAAGTAATATCTTCTTATTGAAAAATATATTGATTAACATATACAATATCAAAAAAAAAATGTATTACTGGAGTGTGTTTCATGCTAGATTTAATGAAGCTAATTTGATCTGTTGATATTGGTGTATTTTTTTATAAACTTGCTCAAAACTAGAGCAGTTTGACTTACTCTGTCAGTCCAAAAAAAAATACAACTCTTATTTTTCGAGAAGTCAAACAATTTCACATTTAACCAAATTTATATGGAAAATACTAACATTTATATATTGTACCAAATAAATATTTATTTAATTAGTTATCAAATATATACGTAAGTTATTCGAATACGTTTTGGAATCGGGACTATGTGTACCGTATTTAGGCGTTCTATTCTAACTTGTATTAGTGTGTGTCGTGAAATTGGATCAGGAATTGGACAATAAAACAATTAAGGCTCTAATATCTAATTCATTATGGTTGTGAGGTTTTGGGTCACATAGGGGACAATAAAACCAATTATGACTCTAATCTCTAATTCGTCGTGAGTTTTTGGGTCACATACGGGACAATAAATCAGTTATGTCTCTAATTTATCATGTACTACTACTCTTAGTAAAATCTGCTAAGACTCCTTTGTTTAGAGAGGTGGGCAATTCACTTATACTATGACACTCTCCCTCACGTTGAGACTCCCTTAGGCCTCACACGTGGAATATGAGTGGTCAACAAATATTTTATTTAATTGTGCCTACCAGGATTGGAATTCTAAACCTCTAGCTTTAATATCATATTGAATTGCATGCACTGATAGTTCAACTCAAAAGCTTCAGTTGATGGAGAGACGTAGCCAAGTGGGCAATTCACTTATATATCTTGTGTTGAAACTAAGTATATAATTGAATTATTCACCTTCCACTGCTAGTTTTAGTTTTTTTGTCGAGCCAGTATGTGTATGCAACTCAATGTTTTTAAAATAGATGTCGTTTTTTCCAATGAACAGGTGTAGCAAATCCCCTAACGCTAATTTCAATGTTTAAACACGCAGCCATTCGGCATCATGATTCATGCTCATGCAGCAGTATACTGTCTACAAGAGAACTGGAAACAATACGCTCCAAATCTTCGCCTCGCCGTCCAACGCGCCACTGCAAACAATAGCACAATGGCCGCCGCCGCCGCCACCACCACCGGACGATCCCTCCTCTGGGTCGCCCCAACCGCTGAACAAGCCGCTGTCACGTCCGTACACCAAAGTTAGGCTCTTCACAGGCGCGCCGTGGCCTTCCAGGACGGCCAGGCGAGTGTACCCCGTATTCTCCGCTCCCCTCCTCCACACCCTCACCGTCCTGTCCGCGGAGCCGCTGCACACCACGTCCCCGGCCGCCGCCAGGCACAGGATCGCCTGGGAGTGCCCTCTGAGCGTGCCAGTGGCCTCCATGCTCCCGGCGCCGCCGTCGGCCCGCTCCCACACCACCACCGACCGGTCGCACGCGCCGGAGTAGAGCACCTTCCCGTCGGCTCCTAGAGCGAGCGCGTTCACCGCCGACCTGTGGCGCTCCATCGTCTGCACGAGCACGTGCTTGTTCCTCCGCTCCGGGTGGCGCCTCCACGCCTTGATCTTCTTGTCGGCGGAGCCCGTGTACACGTGCCCGTCGGGCGACACGGCCAGCGCGTTGATGGCGTCGTCGTGCGCGGGTGCGATGGACTCCACGCACCGGAACCCCGGAAGCCGCCACACCTTGAGGCTCCGGTCCCACGACGCCGAGTACAGGAGCGCGCCGTCCGGGGACACCGCGAGCGCGGTGACCGCGTCCACGTGGTGCACCCAGGTGCGCCACCGGTGCCGCCGGACCTGCACGTAGCTCCACGGGAGCAGGAACGTCCGCAGCCGGTCCACGCAGGTTGGCAGGACGGCGCGCAGAACGAGGCGCGGGGTCCCGTCCTTCCTTCCGCCGGTCCGCCACGCCATGATCTTGCCGTCTTGGTGGGAGCTGAGGAGGAGACCGTTGCTGCCCGTGGCGAGAAGACACTTCACGGAGCTGTCGCACGCGGCAACGACCGTGGCCCTGCAACCGTCGTCGTCATCCCGTTGCTGTTCCTGCCTTCCGCTCGCGTCGCCCAATGGCCACACCCTGATGCGGCCGTCCGACGAGGCGCTGTACAGCGAGTGGCCGTCGAGGGCGAGAGCCGAGACGTAGGAGTGGTCTCTGAGGGTGGCCACGCACTGGTGGTGGCAAGGGCTGACGTTTAGGTCGCGGGGACCTAACGATGGCAGGGAAGGAAGGCTTGGTTGCGACGAGAGCGACACGGCCTGAGAGAGCATAGCTTCTGCAGGCTCGTGCCGGATTTGGCTTAGCTCTTGCTCACTGGCGGAATTCATGGAACTGATGAAGAATCTAATGAGCCAAAAAGGCAGCGGCTTTGTTTTATTGTAAGCGCAGTAGTGGCTCTGATCCAGAAAGCTGCATAAGATTTCCTTTATTCGCACACCTGCAACTGCAACTTGGACCTGAAGAAGAACATGGCCCGGCGCCGGCGGCCCCATCGCGCGGCACAGCAACCAACTTGCCCCGCTTAAAGGGAGAAGCGACAGACGAGAGTGATCCAGATCGTGACAGCAAAATCTCGCATTGGTAAAGTGTCTGTATCAGATAACTAGAATTTAGCTACCACCGGTCAAAAGTAAAATCATAAGCTTCCTTGATCCTTCCGTGGATAGTTCAGCTGTTCAGTTAAAATTCTAAAGCGGTCTGTGTTCTTTTCCACGCGTTGTCGTCAAAGACAGAATAGCGTCGAAGACTAAGTGCCGCGTGCGGGGATCAATGGATAACCGATGTTAACTACCACCAGCATTTGCGTTGCGTTGCCCTACATACCATTTCCGGAGCCCTAGCAGATTCACTTTTTGCCTACTTGCAAGCAATATGCATTAATTCTCTTCTACACAATGGTGATCTTATAATGATAGCATGGCCCCCATGGCTCCTCCATCTCGTTGCCATCGATCTCTTCCGGCATGGGGGTATACATACTAGCTCCAAAAAGGAACCTTAGACGAAGATCGATATAGGAGGACTGTCATTCTTCTCTTGCTGTCTTGCACAACTGAAAAAAAAATGAAAACCTGAAATATGGTAAAGAACAGCGTGGTACCAACGTGGTTTTAGCGATTGCGATATCCACCTGTACACTGCACCCGACTGGAACCACAGCCAGTAGCCAGTAGGCATCATGGAATGAATCACTGGACATTTAAAAAAAAAACGAATCACAGGACAATGTACTGTCCCACACTGTCTCACAAAAGTCCATCCCGGGACTGTTCCCAAGTTGCTGTCTCCGATCTCCCTGCGATGCTCCTCGTACACACATTATTCTTCCGTTGCGCTATCTGCTCTCAGTGAAACCGAGAGGGATTTGTCACAAGATGTACTGTGTTTGCTGTGATCACAAGCAGCGATGACAACAATTCAGGCTTTGGAAACACATGGTGGTATGCAAGGCTATTAATTGATTATATTCTTCGTCAAGGACGGTGTAATTAAGCGAAGGATATATATATGCCGATTGCATCAACAGGACAACAGCAACGCGAGTGGTGGACTCGCGTCCGGTGTTCAATGGATCGCCGGAAACCAAATCAGCTCGGGAGCATGACGAGACAAGCAGATAGTTTAGCATGAGTACAGGACAAGCCACCTTTGTCGTTGTAACTGTGATCACATCTACTTCTAGACAGGCTAGAGGAGGACGGCCTTGGACCATCTATCTTCCAACTCGAATTGGAAGTCCCTATTCATTATTGTGTGGGGCTCAAGCTGACAAGGTGATAAGTACCCTGTTCCCCTGCAGCTTCTAGATGATGCTTACGAGTAAAGCTAGGTTTTCTCCACATGTAATGTAAGCCAAGCAAAAAACTTTGGTTTCTCATGTGTCTTATGCTCGTGAAAATTCATTCAGAGTTTCAGGCGATGGCCGCAAAGCAAGTCGAAGCGTCTTGTCGACTGGAGATGGCTTTTTTCATTGTAGTGGAGCTGTGAGATTCTAGCCCATAAAGTCAGACCACTTGCTCGGTCAATAGGCTTGTCGTTAGCATTTGTATGAGGCTGGAGAGTGACATATTCTAATCGCCATTTCGCGGGTGCGCGCGCTGCTCAAGAACAGTCATCTGCTTTTCTTTTCTTTTTCTTGAGCTAGTCATCTGCTAATTGACAGATCCAGCTGCAGCTGATGTGTCATGATGTGTCACGTGTCGGCCTAGTGCCCATGTCCTTTAGGCCCAGCAAAGGAGGCAGGCCTTAACAAAGGAGGCCCAGCATGATATCATCCCAGAAGGCCCAATAAATGTTGGGCCAGAAGAACTGTATGCCGACGCCATTCCAAATTGGCAATTCGGGATTTGTTGCTGCAATAGTGCAATGTCAACCCGAAGTCTGACGTAGTCTGAACTCTGAGCCCCTCCTGGATATTCTCCAACTGGTGAGGCCTGCCGAACGACGGCCAGATATTCTCCAACTGCTGAAAGCTGAGAGTCTGAAACAGACACGAGTCAGTTGCTTTGATCATTTCGCTAACCGTTACGACAGGATATGTGCAGCTCGCGTTGAAAAGTCGCAGACATTGAGAACTTAAAAAAGTCGCAGACATCGGAATTCAAGAAATGTCCTTTGCACAAAAAGAAAAAAGTACAGAAGAGTTGTTCTTTTCTCATGCGTCCATAGGGCTCAAGCTGAATCAGGCGGTGCTAGTTGTAAGTTGTAACTGCATTTCTTTTGGGGTGTTGAAGAATTGCTGATTCAGACCGTCAGAACTAGACAATTAGATATTGTTCGTTTCGCTGAAATTTGGCTTACGCTGATGCTTGTACTTATGCTGATCCGTCCTGATTGGCAAGTTGCTGATTCAGACCGTCAGAATTCAGAGACGTATGTTCTCTCGCCTCTTGTTCCTATTGCTTTTGGTTGCAGTTGTAAGTAATGACGTCCTTCATTCATATACTAAAACTCACACCCCGCTACATACTAGTAAAATGTTACGCGGACACCGGGCTTGGCTTCTTGAGCAGCCTACGACCCCTCTCCGTTATGTCCACCACTGGCTTCGCCATCATCCTTCGCGTTGAAAAGTCGCAGCATTGGGAATTCAGGAAATGTCGTTTGTGCACAAATCAAGTACGGAAGAGTTATTCTTTTTTCTCACGCGTCCATACTCCATACGGTTCAGCTGAATCAGGCGGTCGGATGTGCTTCTACCCGCATTTCTTTTGGGAGGTCGAAGGACTGCTTTTGTTGAGCGTGGCATACCTCCCCTTGTATTGATTCAGACTTTCAGATATTCAGAGGCGTGTGGTTCTCTGTACTCTTGTTCCTCTCGCTTTTGGTTACGCTTAAAAGAAATGTTACCCGGAGCCGGGCTTGGCAGCCCACGACTCTTCTCCGTTCTTGAACCAATCGAGCAGCTCGCCGGAAACCAGTCAAGCGGAAGCTTCTCTGGCCGGTTACGGTGAGCAATGTTCAAACGCAAAACGCAGTTTTTTCAATTCTGAACCCGTCACTTCACGCCGATCACAGCCGTGGTACGACAGCAACTCGCAACGGACACAAGGCCACATCCTCTCTCGCCTTGACCAAAGGGAACTCACCAAACCACACGCACAGAGCTGCGACGTCCCGATTCGAACAGAGCCACCCGGACCCGGCTGCGCGTACCTGCCGGCCGGCTGACCACGCTGCCCGTGACATATCGGGTAGCGAGCCTTAAAGCTTACGTGACAGCTCGGCTTGCTGCGTGTTCTCTCTCTGCGCGTTCCTCTGGTTTCTGATGATGGGTGTATCGCAAGCTGCCGCCGTCGTGGCGGTGATGGCGTTCGCGGTCGCGGTCGCGTTGCCGGCGTCGGCCTTCCCGTCCGGCTTGCCGCCTGGTGCGCCATCGTTCCCGAACCCGTGGGCGGCGTTCCAGAACCTCTCTGGCTGTCACATGGGCGAGGAGCGGCAGGGCCTGGCCGGGCTCAAGGACTACCTCAGCCACTTCGGCTACCTCCCGCCGCCGCCGTCGTCGTCCCCGTTCAGCGACGCGTTCGACCAGGACCTGGAGGCGGCTATCGCGACGTACCAGCGCAACTTCGGGCTCAACGCCACCGGCGCGCTGGACCCGTCCACCGTCTCGCAGATGGTCGCCCCTCGCTGCGGCGTGGCCGACGTCATCAACGGCACGTCCACCATGGCGAGGAGCTCCTCTGCGGACAACCACGGAAGGCACCTGTACGCCTACTTCCCCGGCGAGCCGACGTGGCCGCCGTTCCGTCGGGACCTCAGGTACGCGATCACCGCGACGTCGGAGACGTCCATCGACCGGTCCACGCTGAGCGACGTCTTCGCGCGCGCCTTCTCCCGGTGGGCCGCCGCCACCAACCTGCGGTTCGCGGAGACCGCGTCGGAGTCCGACGCCGACATCACCATCGGCTTCTACGCCGGATCGCACGGCGACGGCGAGCCGTTCGACGGGCCCCTGGGCACGCTCGCGCACGCCTTCTCGCCCACGGACGGCCGGTTCCACCTCGACGCCGCGGAGGCGTGGGTGGCTGGCAGCGACGTGTCGCGCTCGTCAACTACCGGGGCGGTGGACCTGGAGTCCGTGGCGGTGCACGAGATCGGCCACCTCCTGGGGCTCGGCCACTCCTCGGTGCCCGACGCCATCATGTACCCGACGATCCGGACGGGGACGAGGAAGGTGGAGCTGGAGGCCGACGACGTCCAGGGGATACAGAGCCTGTACGGGAGCAACCCAAACTTCACGCCGACGTCGCCGGCGACGAGCAGCCGCGAGATGGACAGTAGCGCCGGCGCGGGATGCCGACCGGATAGAGTCTTCGTCGTAGTAGTTGCGGCAGTTGGCCTGCTCCTAGTCACAGTGCCGTAGACCTCTAGTGCATGTCATTTTTGGGGATGCCACGTCCGTCGTTACATCGATTTCTTGCTCGATTAGTTGATTCTTGAATAGATTCTTGTGTACATACTATGATTACTATTACAGAATATTTTTTTAAAAGTAATGGCAGGAGTTCTACCCTCAATTAAGAAAAAAATAGAGTTTTGTGTACACCCATAGTGCAAAAAAAAAAAGACCAACTAAAACACCGGCCATAGAGCCAACACACACCGCACTACACATGCCCCTGCACCTCTGAACAATATCTTCCTTGATCAGATAGGAGATCTGTTCCGACGTTTTGTGCCTATTTTCAAAAATTCTCCTATTCCTTTTTTTCACAGGTTCCACACAACGTAAATGAACACTTCCATTAAATGTTCAACATTTTTACTTTGGCACCTTGCTCCCCATATCCTCCCACCAAGTGGCTAGGCACTGGGGATCTTGTTGGGGGCAGTTGCACATCAAAGTTTCCCCGAGATAACACCTGGCTCCAGACGGATTTAGCAAAGGGGCATAGCAAAGATAGATGCAATCCTGTTTCCAAAGGTCCATTGCACAAGACGCAATGCTCATGATGTGACCACCCTCTCTTTTGCAAGTTATCTGCCGCGAGGATTTTGTCGTGCATTAGTACCCAGGCATGTATCTTGCATTTTTTCCGCCCTTGCTTTCCAAATGAGATCAGCATGAAACTTGCAGTGTGAACCTTGGAACTGTATGTTATATGCCGAACGTGTGGAGTAGTTTCCATTAGCTGTCCATCTCCAAACTATGGAGTCCTGCACATCGGACGTGAGCTGCACTTCCTGAATCCTGAACCAGAGGGCGACGAATTCTTGTATTTGAACGGATGTTGTGATTTTCGTCCTGAGGGAGCGGATCCAATTACCATTTTTGTAGTTCCTGGCAAACCGTCCTGTTCTTCCGGCTCACTAGCTCGAAAAGATGGGGCGCTAGGTATCTTGGAGCTTCACCGTCTAGCCAATTGTGATGCCAGAAACGTGCCTTGTTACCATTCCCAATTGTTATCGTTGTTGAGGCGTTCAATAGGAAACGGTCTAGGTCATTGCACGGTAGTGTCGTCCCTACCTAAGGTTTTGAGTCATGAATTCACTCCTGCCACAACCAACATAGGCGCAAAGCTCTTCCAAAATTTTCCAAGTTTGGCACCCCCAACCTTCCCAAATCTTTTGGCATGCAGACCGTCAATCAATTTACCAAGCAATGCCCTCTCACATGGCGTTCTCAAGCAATGCCCTCCGTTGCTTCTCATCACCTTTCCACAGAATGATCTTCGATTTTGTCAATTTGCTTTCTTGCCCATTTGCTAGAGGGAACACGGTGAGGTGATAGGTAGGCATCGAGGATAGCACTGAGGTGACCAAAGTATGTATGCCCGCTCTGTTGAGTTCCAACCAGGTAGCCTCTGCCCTATGCGTTTAATGAGCAGTTGCACATGGACCTTCTGCAGGGATCTCGTATGGAGCTGCTGTCCCAAGTAGCGGCACGGGAAGGATTCTCTTGTCCCTGCAAAGGAGGCTAGCACATGGTCTAGATCGATGTCTTGGCATCTGATCGGGTGGAGTGAACTCTCTTGCTGAGACCCTCCTAAATTCCGGGGTCGTGATGGAGTCCACTTACAGAATAATATAATACTATAGATCACAGAAGGATATGGCCCGTTAAACCGTTTTGAAAAAAACAAGCCGAAATCATTTGCTCGGTGATTTGTTGTGAGAGAAAACATTGTTCCAAATTTGAAAAAACAAGCTAAAAATGAAAAAAAATATAGATTATAAGAAAAAACGAACATGTACGTATTACAACGAGTTGTGGACACGTGGAGCGGCATTCTTTCCGGGTACAGCCCGGAGTTCGTATGGCGGCGCCGGAGTCTGCCTTGGTCCAAGAGTCGTCAGGAGCTTCTATCCTCCGTCAGATCATCCGTATCCCATTTCGTCCATGAACGGATTAATTAGAGTCAATGTCTTGTATACCAATTCACAAACACGCTATGGAGTAGTTATAAGCACTGACGAAAGAGGAACCAACCGTACAGATATTTTAATCACGGAGCAAAAATCGTCACTGTGCATTATCTCCACGTAAGCTCCGACGTAATTTGCTGTGGAACCACTAACGCGTTGCTTTTGACGATGCTTGGCTTGGTTCACCAAATTGGCCGCTAAAAGTAGTATATGATTACTCGTGTCAGAACTCGCAGCAAGCAGTGGAATCAAGCAAGCCATTATTTAACAGGTCAAATTAGACCTGGCCGACAAAGATCTTAAAGTAGTAATAATCCGATTAGGCGACCTGTCCCGGCATGCGACTTCTTCACTTCTGGAAACCATTCCGATTCAGGAACGACACAATCCCGCCGGTCGCCGTTTTGCACTCCGACCGCGTCTGAGCAAGGCAGCTGCCGACATGTGGACCAGTCCTGGGAACGGACCCACTAGTCGGTATCAGTATCGCCAGGGACAGAAGCTCCCCACGACCCCACCCCTGAAGGCTGGTCAAAACTGGCGCGCAGCTGCCCCCGAGCACGAACGGACCAACCAACCACCGCGTTCCGGACATATCCGGACACGCGACTCCTCCGTCCGCCCCCTTTTCAATTCCACAGGCGTGGCGCGCATGGGAGGCGATGCTTCCGGTGATCTGGTCATTGATGCGTTCTTCGGCACAGGTAAGCGTGCTCCTATAAAAGCCACATTCCCTTGGCATCCCAGGCTCCTTGCCTCAACCGCACGAAAGCAGCAGCACACCACACGGTTCCTTTCATTCTTCCTCGAGGGAATCGTCGTCTTTGCATCGGTGTCGCCGGTTCAGCCGATCGATCGGGACCATGCAGCGCAGCAACTCGTTCGGCACGTCGTGGGCGGACCAGTGGGACTACGGCGGCGACCCGAGCCCGCGCGCGCGCAGTCGGCAGGATGGCGGCGGCGGCAAGAAGCAGGGCGGGGTGGAGAAGACCAAGGCGGCCGCGGCGACGGGGCTCAGGAAGGTGAAGGAGGGCACGGCCAGCGGGTTCCAGTGGATCAAGGACAAGTGCCAGAAGAAGGGCGGCAAGAAACAGGGCGCCCATGAGGGCTCCGGGATCGCCGGGTACTAAGTTAGCTAGTCTCTGTTTCGATGGAAGCCTATTTGGTTATTAGGCGATTTGTGTTTGTTCATTCCTTCCTTCCTTGTGTCGTCCATGTGTATATTGTTGGATGTAGTGTCAGCTCCTTCGTGTAGATTAATGTTTGGATTTCAGTTATTGATGATTCGTTTATTGTTTTCAAATCTCGTGCTCTGTTTTGCCGGCATGTGTATATTGTTGATTGGTAACTAAAGTTCGCCTCCTAATGTCTAAAGATAGGGATGGTGCTCCAATGAGTACTTGCACAGATACGCGAGAAATCAGTTTATTGGATGCTAAGGTAAAGTTTCGAACTGGCGATGACATTGTTAACCGTTTGCACACATGCTGGCAACTAGCGACTCTCTGCGCCTATCTCCCAGTCCCAGGTGCCTCCGGTTCATTGTAGTACTTGCACAGATACGTGAAGAACACAAAGCTGACGGTGCCGATAAAAGCCAGGAACCAGTAGTACTTATCCAGGTGTTCTTGCCGTGGATCATCAGAGAACCAGCCGTGTCCCTCTCCCGTCCTTGCAGTCATCGTCTCGAGGACCTCGATCAGAAAGGCACCGAGGAAGTTCCCGAAGCCAAAGACGCTGAGGTAGAGCGCGATGCCGATGGTCCTCATGGTGCTGGGGACCTGCGTGTAGAAGAACTCCTGCATTCCGACGACCGTGAACACATCAGCTACTCCCAGTAGAATGTACTGCGGGAGCAGCCAGAATATGCTCAGCTGATGAGTGGCGCCGTCTCCTTCGCTGACGAAATGGAGCCGCTTCGATTCGACAATGGAGGCGGTGACCATGGCTGCGACTGAGAGGACCATACCGATGCCGATCCGCTGGAGCACGGTAATCCCCTTCTCCTCCCGGGTGAACACGCGCATCAGAGGAACGAATATCTTGTCGTACAGCGGCATGAGCAGTATCACCGACATCGTCGTCGAGCTCTGGAGCATTGCTGGAGGAATCACGAAGCTGCCGACCTTGTGGTTCATCAGTGTCCCTTGCTCGGTGAAGAACGTCATTGGCTGCTGAAAGATGACGGCGAAGATCAGCAGCGTTGTCCAGATCGGCAGAAGCCTCAGGATGGCATTGGTGACGCTAGGTGCAGTGTCATGGTCATCTTTTGCCTCCTTCATATCAGTGAACTCATCTTTAAGCGCCTTCTCTTCTAATCTGTATTTCAACATATTAACATATATAATAGTACAAAAGAAATTGAGGTACGGACTACTATAGTAAAATCTTACTCTAGCTCCGAAATGTCATGATCATCATCTCTAGCCGGTAAACGGACCTTCCGAGTAATGAGACATGTAACAATTTCTTTCAGTACTCTGAAAATGCTATCTGAAGGCCTGTTGCCAGTATTCTGTTCGTTGCACATATACAGAGGAGTTCCGCAACAGAATGCGACGACAGATAAGACCATGACGCCGCAAGGAATGGCAAATCCGAGACCCCAACCAAACATGTCTTGGATGTATGACATGATGGAGTTCCCCAAGAGGCTACCACTGCATATACCAAAATACCACCACTGGAAGAACAGGCTCTTCACCTGGTTCTTTTGTTCAGCTGGCAGAGATTCCATGTCATCTTCACTCAGTAGTTGGTCAGCTCCAAATGCTTGCAACGAAGGGTTGTATCCACCCTGCCCAACTGAGATCAAGTACAGTGGCAAAAACAGCAAAGAAGATGGCATCCATGAGTGCAGCACTGCCCATGAGGTTAAACCTACTAGGCCCTGATCAAGAAACAAGAAAAACGATAGGAAAAGGGTAGGTGAACTGCAATTCTCACCAAAAAAACAATAACATAAACTACGGGTGTAGAATCTCTGAAGTAAACTTGTTTTAAGGGAGTGCTTGTAGTAGTGTAGCATCCTGGAACAGACAGAAAAAACTTACCACTATGTAAAGCAACGATGAAACAGTTATTGTAGAATAACGATCCCAGAAAGAATCAGCAAGAATGGCACTAGCCAGTGGAAGCATGGACGTGACTCCATTCCATGTGCTAACACTCTTCGCAGCGGAGGATGTGCTCATCTTTACAACATCAGTGAGGAAAGTCACAATATTTGAGGCTACCCCCTTGTAAACAAATCTCTCCACACCAGCCACCACTGCAACACAAAATGTAATGAACTGAAAAATGATGCACAGATCATATCTTGCAGGGGAAAAACAATAGTACAATGACATCGAGCATGGTTACCTCTAATGAGAACACATGGCTTGCTCAATGCTGCCGACTTCACTTCTGAATCCATGAGAAACAGTGAACACCGAGAAGCCTCACTCAGCTCCTTCAAAAGTTTACATATATATGGGATATTCTGAACAAAGACAGACGAGACCTAATATTCTTGCCCCTTCTTTTATTAGTGGTAACTCCACAATGGGGAGGAAAGCGTGAGGACTACTAGTGCAACCTCCACAAATCAACAGATTTATTTTATGATTGACGACTTATGAGTATATAAGTCCAGAATTAGTGCCGTTAGAGGAAAACGAATCCAGGAATATTATGGAATGCCCAGTTTGGATCACCTAAAATAAGCTGCTAGCTGCTAAAAAAGCTCTAGCTGATCCATATAGTCCAGCTTATAGTCTAGTTTATAGCCCATTTTAAACTATTCAACCACCCCGGTTATAAAAAGCTATTAGCGGGCTCTCTCTAGCTAATGCAGCTTATAAAAAAGTTAAGCTGATTCAAATTGATCTCCAGTAGTTTGCATGTTACATATTTACACTGAAATTTTCACACATGAACGATAAACTTTCTTTTCAGATGTTTGTTTTTATTAAAAAGAAATGAATATGGCAGATCTTATGTGGAAAATTTCTTTGATGAGTAGGAATATTTCAAGTTAGATGAATTTCAGAAATGATACGTCAAAGACAAAGCACCATACCGACTTCACTGTAGTGCCTAGAGTTACACACCATTGTTAATGATCATGTATTCCTGCCTATATGTACAGGAAACTAGCACAACATGGTAAGACTGAACATAATACTGGAATTTCAATCGGAAAAAAGAACTATGTAGCCATTCTAATACAATGATGGCAAGATAGTGAAAACAGGACGCGGCAGAAAGCCAAAAGAGCACCTGATGTAATATGTGAAAGGTTCTACTTTTATTCATAACAATGCTTGTGGAGATCAGCTTGACAATTGAAACCTAAACAACATCTTATCATCATAAGCCATTAACTGCTAGTGATATAAATTTTACAATGCAGTAGTGCTCAATCATTTAAGCACTTCATATGAGACAAAAGATTAGCAAACTAGACGCATCTGCACACTAACTAAACGTCCTGGAGGTACTTTCTGATGTGGAGTTCACCAAATCGAATCCCATTTTCCTGTATGAGCATTGAGATTGCCTTTCCGTGAACTGCTGAAAGCTAATATGAACATTTCTATCTGCACTGATTAGACTATTTTTGCTATCCCTTACACATGACACATCGGATTTCCAACAGAATGGCTTCATAATCATACCCAAGTTGCTTCACCATTCCAAAGTGACAAAAGGAACACTTTTTTAAAAGGCAAAACTTTTATTCAGTGAGAGATGGCATGTAGTAGTACGAAAGATCATTGAAGCACAAAAGCAAATCTTATTTATCCTACAGGAGATAACTTGTCCAGTGCTGACGGTCACATTATTGGAGGTGAAAATTGGACAAGACACGACATGTCTGGATGCAAAGACTGAACTTTTACAGACTACAAGGCCTATGATGAGTATACTAACAAGCCATGACTGCATACACAGTCAAGAGAACACAAGCCACTTATTTCTGATGGTACCTCCCTTCCTCCTCCCTCCTTTTGAACTTCTCCTTCTCGTCATCCGACTCCCCGACCACCGCTTCCTTCGTCTCGTGCAGCGTTTCCTTTGCGCTCTCGGTAACATCGTCAGTCTTCTCCTTTGCCACCCTCAGGAACTCTTCGGCTGTTGATCTTGCCTTATCCCCGATCTCACCTAGTGTGGTGTCATCGTGTTTCTCGGCTGAATAATACTGTCAATTTCACAGGAAAACAGAAGATTCTGAACATAGGTTAGGAGTATACCAAAATCATTCGATCAATCATTTTGATTGGAATGAACTGTTGTCTAAAACATTTGTACATCAGGATTCACGCCTTGTGCTTGCTTAAAATTCAAAGAACATTGGGAAGTAGCAGCAGTGACAGGATTGGTGAACTCACCCTGTAGCCGGGAATAACATTGTTGCAAAGTGCAGGCAGGGCAGGGGATCTGGCCACCAAACTCCGGGAAGGGCAACCGAACTGGCGATGAGCAAGCAACCTCTTCATCTCGCCTACGATGGTGCTCCAATGCTCAAGCTCGAAGCAATCTGATAGAGACGGCCGTTTGTTCTGATCGGGAGCCGCCGTCTGCCCTTTAGCCCTTATAAGAAGTCGTGACGCGTAAAGGCAGGGGGCCGGCCGAACAGGTCGATCCCCTCCATCGACGTGGCGCCGGAGCGCCTGGCCACGTACCCGAGGACGCATGCGAGGCTGCTCCAGGCGGCCGCCTATTGTGATTCGTGTGCCTACCCGCTTGGGGGGATGTGAACGGCTACGGTTTGTTTTTGCATGGTGCCGCCATTAGTTTACCTTGCGAGCGACGAGAGGAACTCCAAGAGGTGGCTGAGACGTGGAGTCTGGATTCTGGAACTGGGCACACGTGCCGCCGCCGGCGTCAGACGTGAAGACGTCCTCACGGTGGGTTACGTTCACCGCCGGGCCGCCGCTGCTTCTTGCGGCCTGGGTTACATTACCTGGGCTCACAAAGGCATTTTGACCCCTCTTGGATACGAGTCCGATCCCCTATACTATACGTACTGCTGCTGCAAACTTTTATTCTCGTTGGTTGAATTATAATAAAGAAAAATGCCGTCATTGCCTGTGAATGTGCGGAAATGCTAGTAGGGCATTCGTCAGTCCGAACGTTGCTTCGTGGGTTTGCGTACGAGCTCCATAAACCTCTACTTTGCGTCGGCTCGTTTTTTATTATGCTATCCGCATCTGTCTTCGATTGCGCCTGTTTGATAAGGAAAGGAGAAGGAGACGAAGGACCTGCTCCGTACGTTGACGGTGGTCCTGCTCCGTCGGCTGCCCCGCTACTCCTGCTCTGCAGCCCGCTCCGTCGTCGACTGTTATCCCGCGCTGCTCCTTCCCGTCGCCTCATTGCTTTCCTGCCGCTACTTATGCTCTACGGCCCACTTCGCCTGACGGCGCGAGCACCGCCACAGCCACGCATGGCGACCGCTCCCTCAGCCACCAACTAGCCACTGAGGCCGCTGCGCAAGGAGAAGCGTTGGGTCCTGACGCGAAAGCCCCCCGGTCTCGCCTCCTGCTACGGCTGCGGTGCCCCGATGCAAATGGCAAAGGAGGCCGCACCGAGATACGATGCATGTTGCAAGTGTATATTTCAAATATTTCAGATGTTTTAGAGGTATGTTGCAATTGCAAGTGTTTTATAAGGATGTTGCAAAAGTAGATCAGGATGATGCACATGTGGCTATGGGGTATACATATATGTTTATGTTCTAAATGTTTCATCTGTTTCAGACGTATGTTGTAAGTGTTTTATCTTGATGTTTGCATATGTTTGCAGTGGCTACACATGTGCTTTTAAGTTTTTTATGGTGCGTTTGCATGAGTTTCAGATATATGTTGCAAATATTTCAGTTGTTTCAGACGCATGTTGCAAGTGTTTCATCTGGATGTTGTAAAAGTAGATCGGGTGTTACACATGTTGCAATGCGCGTGAGAAATAGAGGGAGCGTGCGCGGTCTGTGCGCACGGTTTGGTAGTGCGGGCGTCGTCTGGGCGCGCGAAATATATGTCCTGTTCACTTGGCTAATAAGCCATGACTAAAAGTACTGTTGATTGATTTATTAGGACCCCATTTGGCAGGGCTTCACTTCACTAGTGAAGCCATTTTTTTTGGCTTCAGCTCCACGAACAGTTCCACCGGTGGAGTTGAAGCGGTTTTGATAAACCGTTTGGCAAAATGGCTTCTCTGTGAGAGCATGTTTTTAGAGGCCTGGAGGAGGAGCCGGGAGAAGCCACTTTTTTTGGCTCCATCCCACCCCAAATCATTGTGAGAGCATGTTTTTAGGGGCTTCACCAGTGAAGCTATTTCATTTTATCCCGTTTGGCAGAAAACGGCTCCTGAAGCTGGTGGAGAAGCCCTGCCAAACAGGACCTAATATAGAAAAATACTACTTATTGAATGAAAAATTACGATTTATATGCCAAACGAATGGGCTATAGACTCGGACGGGGGCATGCTAGCCCGACATTCGGGTACTAGCACAGCTGATACATGTGCAGCTGTTCGTCGCTAACAAGGAGCAGCCACCTGAGATCACCAACTTGCCCCGCGCCAGATCCCGCCTCACCTTTCTTTGCTTCCGATTTTGGCTCCCGGCTTCATTGCCTCGATGCCTCGATGGGGTGAATTTTTTTATTTTTAACATTTTTTAAACTATTTTTAATTCTAACATTGTTTTTTTTCAATCTAACATTTTTGGCTGCGCCTGTTGCTACGACGCGGACAAACAACGCTGCCGCGCCATATATGGCGGCGCGGCAATGACGATGACGTGGCACTTCCACACGCCATGGCCGCTGACATGGCAGGAGCTGTCGCGCCGCACATCTTGGCGCGGCAGTGCCGCGCCACGGCCCACGGCGCGTCCCTTTGTCATGTTGTGCAAATGTGTTCTGGCTTGGCTGTGGTATCGATGGTCTGTTCTCCGTTCAATGTACTTTTTTCAAACTTTGTATCTTACTTCTATGTTGTTGTATTTGTCCTATTAGATTTTATCTCTTGTTTCAATGCCGCTGCATATACTGTATCTCATCTTATCGATTTATCGTGACTTGACATAGCACTGCGTTGCTGACTCTAGTTTTGTAGCCCTGAACTATAAGCCATGCCGCTTTGCTCTGTTACGCAAGACTGGTCGTACCGTCTAATCGGAACTAACCTTTTGCAGTCTGAGATGACGTGCGTGTAGATGTAGTTGTACCAAATTATTTGTACTACCAGTATATGAATTGTGCTACATAAGGAACCGCGGTATCCCCGTCCAAAAGACGTACAATGTGGGTTTTTACACTACTCATCCTTCTTTTTAGTTTTTCATTTATTCAAACCACTAGATAGTTGACTAGGCACAACATCCGACATCCGTTGATTCGTGTCGATAGCTTGTTGACCGTGATGAATCTATTGATTCATCTTTGGCGCCAGACGCAAGGTTTTTCATGTCTCATTTTCTTCCTTAGGATCATTTTTCAGCTGCTTCCATTTCTATATACTACTTTTACGTTGCATGCACCCCATCAACTTCTAACTCCCCGCCCCCTGTTCAATAACCGTGTGGAATGTTCTATACACTGTAGCGTGGAGCAGCCAAGGACCCGATTAGATTGAGGGCACAGAAGAATCACAGATGAAAAACCTACGATTTAGCGCGCCTGTGAGCCTATTCAAAATTTTTTAGTCCAGCATGCTAAGATCTGTTCAATTCCATAAATGCATATTACCATGAATTGTTTATTCACATGGGCTCCACACCGTCAACGAATCACTTCGACTGCTTTTACGAGTTCAATCTTTGCCTCGATTTTGTGCCCGGATTCTAGCCTTATTCTTACAATGCTTCGATTTCAAAATGTAAAGCTAACACGAAAATGGGGAGGCTAGGTCCGCTAGCCAACTCTCTAAAGTAGTACTAAAAGATGTGTAAAAACGACGACATCTAAATATAAAATTCAGAAATGAACAGTACCATGTACTCTAAAAAAATTTGAACTAGGAAATAAAAAATTAGGTACTGGTGAACAACAGGAAAAGCATGACGACCAAAGAAATATACTTTTCGTAACATTCCAACGATGTTGAACTATTAGAAGAGATAAGTATCAAATAAAGTAGTTAAGAAATCAGCTAAAAAATGATCCTAACGATTTAATATAAAAGATGAATCAATAGACCATCAGGCTACTCTCGACGGATGTCCACTGTCAACTATCCAGTGGTTTGAATACATGGAAAACTAAAAAGAAGGGTAAGTAGTGTAAAAACCCACATCGTACGTCTTTTGAATGGGGATACAGCAGTTCCTTATGTAGCACAATTCATATACTAGTAGTACAAATAATTTGGTACAGCTGCATCTACACGCACGTCGTCTCAAACTGCAAAAAGTTGGTTCCGATTAGACGGTATGACCAGTCTTGTGTAATAGAGCAAAGCGGCATGGCCTATAGTTCGTATACGAAACTAGAGTCAAGAACGCAAAGGTTATGTCAAGTCATTTATAAATCGATAAGATGTGATACAAAGATATGCAATGATCGGAACCAGATATAAAATTTAATAGGACAAGTACAACAACATAGAAGTGAGATACAAAGTTTCAAAATAGGTACATTGAACGGAGAACATACCATCGTTACGGCAACCAAGCTAGAACACATTTGAGGGACGCGCCGTGGGACGTGGCGCAGCACTGCCGCGCCAAGATGTGCGGCGCGGCTGCTCCTACCACGTCAGTGGCCATGGCACGTGGAAGTGCCACGTCATCATCACTGCCGTGCCGTCATGCATGACGCGGCAGCGTTGTTTGCCCACGCCGTAGTAATAGGCGCGGCAAAAAATGTTAAATTTAAAAGAAAAAAAACAGTGTTAGAATTAAAAATAGTTTAAAAAAGTGTTAAAAATAAAAAAAAAATCGATGGGGCTGGCTGGCTGGCTCGCTGCCACGCAGGGACAAACCCTGAAACCGCACAGGTTACGCGCCCCACTTTGAGTCCTGCAGCAAACCTTTTTTTTTATGATGAGATGCAGCAAACCTCTTGACAGTTGACACAGACGCACGGTCATGATCGGACTCCACAGAACAGGCGTGGCGGCGTCCCGCATCGGGCCTCCGCGACTCCGCGTGACGCAACCGTGAACCGCACGCTTGGCCCCCTCGACGTCTCGTAATTCGGGTTGTAGGCGGGATTGCGCCCATGTAGTAGTTCGGCCCGGGAGAGATTATTGCTTTTGCACGTACTCTGTAAAAAAACTAAAATGCTATACAACACACATGTATTTTGCACAAAAAAAATATATGAATTTTTTTTATATCTATGACGTCTAGGGTCCACGTGTCATAACGAATACATAAACATTTGTGCGATATGTGATTTGTCCTTTTATAGAAAAAAAAATTATTTCTTGTGATCTATGATCTTGTGATTTATGATTGTCTGGAGATAGAAGAATGGTGTAGGCTGGAAGTAGAAGAATGGTGTAGGCCGAAAAGTAGAAGAAGGACGTAGGCTGTTGGATCTTAATCATATGGTGCTAAAAAATTCATGTGTTGAAACTGCATAAAACACATGGTTGTGTAGTAGATAGACTCAAAAAAATTATTTCTTGTGACCTGTGATTTTGTGATTTGTGATTTTCTGGAGGTAGAAGAAGGCTGGAGGCTGAAGATAGACGAAGGACGAAGGCTATTGAATCTTAATCTTACTGTGCTAAAAAATTTTATGTGTTGGACTATATAAAACATATGGCAGGAAGACTGAAAAAACTGGTGCGGCTCTTAGGCGTGGCGAGTGCACCAAACCGGATTGGAGGAAAGCTCACGTCGATGTCACTACTATATCAGCTCATCAACCATTATTGGGTTTGGACTACAGGCTTGAGGCTTCCTCGCAAGTCGCAATGATGCTTGCTGTCCTCGCTGTCCTCTTGGTGTCCACTGCGGTGGCAGCAGCGTCCTCCCATCCCCACCCGCTCGACCCACACTCTGCCGCAGAGCTCACGGCTGTCCGCGCAGCCGTGCTTGCCTCTCCGCTCGTCCCCGCCCGCCCGCTCTATTTCCACTACGTCGGCCTCGACGAGCCCGAGAAGCCGGAGGTCCTCTCCTACGCCTCCGGCGCCGGCGCCGGCGCCTCCACGGCCCCTCCTCCCGCGGCGCGCGCTCGTCATCGCTCGAGCCGATGGCCAGTCCCACGAGCTCCTCGTCGACGTCACCGACGCCTCCGCGCCGTCCGTCCTCTCGCACGCCGTCCACCGCGGCGCGGGCTTCCCGATGATGACGACGGAGGACCAGGTCGCGGCAATGGCGCTGCCGCCCGCGCACCCTCCCTTCGTGGACTCCGTGCGGCGGCGCGGGCTGAACGTCAGCGACGTCGGCTGCGGGGTGATCTCCAGGGGGTGGTTCGGCGCCGCCCAGCCGGCCTACGGCGGCGGCAGGGTGGCGATGGCGAAGATGCAGTGCTTCGTGACCGCCGGGTCGACCAACTTCTACGCGCGGCCGCTGGAGGGCGTGACGCTGGTGGTGGACGCGTGGCCATCGTCGGGTACCGGACAGGGTGGTGGAGCCGGTGCCCAAGGCCGAGGGCACGGACTACCGGGCGGAGAAGCTCGGCCCGCCCTTCACCGGGCCGGCCACGGCGCCCGGCGTGGTCGTGCAGCCGGAGGGCAGCGGATTCCACATTGATGGCCGTGTTGTCAGGTACAGTGTCACATCAACCGCCGTTCGTGATAGGATCATTGTTGATGAATGGACAGAGTCCACACCGTTGGTGATCTACATGTTCCTGCTCTATTATTATTGTTATTTGTTGAGGATACATGCCAAGACGACTGACTCGGTAACTGCAGGAGCGCGGACAGGCGCCAGCGTGCGTGGTCACCACGTTCTCCATCAGCACGCGTCGTGTGTAGACTAGGAACGGTTGCTGAAGATAGCAACCTCATGTAATACATATTCGTTCACAGAGATCAATAGATGTTCTGTTGGCTCTCATTTACTTCTCTACATGGTATCAACAAGCTCGGGTTGATCCCTCGCTACATCGCCGTCTTCTTCCCTCCGCTCCGCTGCCTCTCCCCGGCTGTCGCCATGCCAACCATGGACGGCAATCCCCTCTTCGGTCTCGGTTCTTCCGACTCCGACGACACCTCCGAAATCTCCTTCACCTCCTCTGTCGGCGACGCTGCCCCTGCCACCACGCCTCCCACCGCAGTACTTCAAAACGTTAACATCAAATCCCACATTCCCATTGTTCTCGAGCTCGCCACGCCGAACTATGACGAATGGCGATGCTTCTTCGATGCCTTCCTCGGCAAGTTCGGTCTCACCTCCCACGTCTCATCTCCGCCAACTGCCGACCAGCGCCATGATCCCGACTGGCGTGTGGTTGATCAGTGCATCTTGAGTTGGCTGTACAACTCCATCGCCAAGGACGTGCGCGACATCGTGCGCCATCCGAAGGCGACCGCGTACCGCGTCTGGGGCGCTATCCACGATCAATTCCGCGACAACGAGCTCCATCGCGTTGTCTACCTGGAGACAGAGTTCCAGAACATGGTCCAGGGCGATATGGACATCACCCAGTACACCGGACGACTCAAGCAGCTCGCCGATGCGCTCCGCGACGTCGGCCAGCCAGTGCGAGAGACGAGCCAAGTCCTGAACATGCTGCGCGGCCTGAGCTCCAAGTATCGCCACGCCATCCCCGCCATCACCGCCAAGCAGCCGCCGCACACCTTCCTCTCGGCACGCTCATACCTTCTTCTGGAAGAGCGCTACGACAAGGAGCATGCCAAGACGGTGGCACAGCACGCTCTGCTCGCCACTGGTGGACCTCGTCCCGCCGCACCCACCGCCACCGAAGGCAGTTCAAGCTCTACTACGGCTGGCAACTCCGGCTCCACTGCACCGACAACCGTCGCCAAGCCACCAGCTGCTGCTCACGGCGCGCCTAACCGCAACGACAACAGGCGTGGTCGTGGCCGCGGTCGTGGCCACGGCTTATCTCCAGGCGGTTTCTCCTCCCCAAGGCCGCCAACGGCCTGGACACCCGGATTCAATCCGTGGATGGCATGGTGCAGGCATGGCCCATGCCATTCTGTGCCCCAGGAGCTGGCGTGCTCGGCCCGCGCCTCGGCACATCACCACACCAGGCTTACTTCGCTGGGTTGTCTCCACTTCCTCCTGGCGTCACTCAGCCACCACCCTCCGTGGATCCGTGGAACCATCAGGCCTTGCTCGCCGCACTGAACGCGGCAAATTCCACAGCAGCTGCTCCTCAAGCGACCGAATGGTTCATGGACACCGACGCTTCTTCCTACATGTCCTCCAACGCCGGTAAACTCAACTCTTCCACCCCAGTTTACAATTCCACTCCTATTGTCGTCGGCAATGGCGCCACGCTGTCGGTGACTCATCGTGCTTCCACACAAATCCCCACTGCTCGATCCCCACTTTCCCTCCCTAATGTTCTTGTCTCTCCATCACTTGTTAAGAATCTGATTTCAGTTCGTTCCTTAACTCGTGACAATAATGTCTCTGTGGAATTTGACGCTTTCGGTTTCTCTGTCAAGGATCTTCCCACTCGTTCGGTGATCCTCCGCTGTAATAGCGATGGCGAGCTATACCCTCTGGCCTCATCACCGTCGGAGGCCCTGACTGCCACCTCCACGCCCACTGTCGAGCTCTGGCATCAACGTTTAGGCCACCCCGGAAGGCACACGCTGTAGAAGACTCTTCCTCGCCTTGAGTTCATCTCCACCAAGCCAACCACTTGTGAAGCCTGTCAGCTTGGCAAGCATGTGCGTTTACCTTTTTTAGACTCTAGTTCAGTTAGCTATGTCCCATTTCAGATTGTTCATGCTGATGTTTGGACCTCTCCAGTGTCTAGTTTCTCTGGCTTCAAGTATTACCTTGTGTTGATTGATGATCTTACACACTATGTCTGGACTTTTCCATTACGCAACAAGTCTGATGTTTTTCAGTGCCTCATTGCATTTCATGCTTATGTTCATACTCAGTTTCAGTTACCAGTCATTGCATTCCAAACCGACAATGGGAAAGAGTTCGATAATTTAGCCTTTCGGCGTCATCTTGAACACCATGGTGCCACCTTGCGCCTCTCTTGTCCTTACACTTCATCTCAAAATGGCAAAGCTAAGCGCATCATTAGAACACTGAATGACTGCGTTCGTAGTCTTCTCATTCATGCTGGCTTGCCTGATGCATATTGGGTGGAGGCGCTGTCCACAGCAACCCATCTTCTGAATCGTCGTCCCGGTCGGGCCAGTGGTCAGACAACTTCATTTTAGCTTCTCCTCGGCGCTCCACCATCCTACAATCATCTAAGGGTTTTCGGGCGCCTGTGCTATCCCAATCAAGCTTCAACAGCACCGCATAAGCTCCACGCTCGATCCACGCCGTGTGTTCTTCTCGGCTACCCGTCTGATCACCGTGGATACCGATGTCTTGACCCGCAAACACGTCGCGTCATCACATCTCGCCACGTTGTTTTTGATGAAACCCAGTTCCCTTTTCGTTCTGAATCTCAGCTTCGTCAGCCGACAATAGCCAGACCGGCTATAGTAACTGACGAGCCTGTCATTCTTCAGCAGAGCGCACCTCACCCACCACCACCTTCTCCTGCTTCTCTATCGCCTGCTGCGTCTGGTACCACACCCACACCTTCTGCACCATCCTCTGGTGCTTTAGTTCCCGCACCATCACTGTCCAACAGTCCTGTTCCCGACGTCGTACCTGCGGCGTCGGCCCATAGTCACCAAATGCAGACTCGTTCCAAGGCAGGCATCTTCAAACCAAACCCATGGTACGCTCTGCACGTCGGTGCCTCATCCTCCGCGCCTGTGATCTCTCCACTTCCTGCTATAGCTCGGATTGCTCTCAAAGATCCTAACTGGAGGGCAGCCATGACGGTTGAGTTTGATGCGCTCCAGCGCAATAGAACTTGACGCCTTGTTGATCGTCCACCGGGTGCCAACGTTGTCAGTGGAAAATGGGTGTTCCGTCATAAGCTCAATCCTGATGGCTCACTAGAGCGTTACAAGGCGAGGTGGGTGGTTTGCGGATTTACCCAACGAGCAGGGATTGATTTCAGTGAAACCTTCTCGCCTGTCGTCAAGCCAGCCACTATTCGTACTGTCCTCGCCATCGCGGCATCTAACCAGTGGCCAACGAAGCAACTCGATGTCTCTAATGCGTTCCTTCATGGTCATCTCAATGAGCATGTTCTATGTCAGCAGCCGACGGTCTTCGTCGATGCTGATCGCCCTGACGCTGTCTGTCTGCTCGATAAGTCCTTATATGGACTCCGTCAGGCACCGAGGGCGTGGTTCACTCGGTTCGCCGGGTTTGTCACCAAGATCGGCTTCAAGGCAACCCGATCTGACTCGTCCCTTTTCGTCCTTCGTCGCGGCACGGACATCACATATCTCCTCCTCTACGTCGATGACATTGTGCTCACTAGGTCTAGCTCGGCCTTGCTCCAGCACATTGTCTATTGCCTCCGTGCTGAATTCACCGTCAAGGACATGGGGGCGTTGCACTTCTTTCTCAGGATCAACATCAAGCGCACCAAGGACGGGTTCTACCTCTCTCAAGAGCGGTACGCTGAAGACATCCTCGATCGCGCCGGGATGACGAACTGCAAACCTGCCTCTACAGCAATCGACGCCAAGAACAAGCTCGTCGCCGACGGCCCACCCATGAACGATGCGACGTCATACCGCAGTCTGGCAGGCGCGCTCCAGTTCTTAACGATGACGTGGCCTGACATCGCCTTTGCCGTCCAGCAAGCCTGCCTCCACTTGCATGATCCCCGCGCACCGCACATGGCGCTTCTCAAGCGTATTCTATGGTACGTCCGCGGCACGACGTCGCACGGACTCCTGCTTCGTGCCTCCTCCGACCTCAGCGTCACCGCGTACTCAGACGTGGACTGGGCGGGCTGCCTCGACACTCGGAGATCGACGTCGGGATTCTGCGTCTACCTAGGTGACTCCCTCGTCTCCTGGTCATCCAAGCGGCAGCCCACGGTGTCAAGATCAAGCGCGGAGGTCGAGTATCGGGCGGTGGCAGACGTAGCCGCCGAATGCATCTAGTTACGCCAGCTGCTCGGTGAACTCCATTGTGGCATCAAGAAGGCGACGGTGGTGTTCTGTGACAATGTCTCCGCGGTATACATGTCATCGAATCCAGTTCACCACAAGCGCACCAAGCACATTGAACTCGACATTCATTTTGTGCGAGAACGAGTTCAACTGGGTGAACTGCGTGTCCTCCACGTTCCGACAGGTGAACAGTTCGCGGACGTCATGACGAAAGGTCTACCGACGGCATCGTTCCAGTCTTTGTGTGCTGCCGATCACCCATCAGACTGCGCGCGGGGTGTTGTTGAGGATACATGCCAAGACGACTGACTCGGTAACTGCAGGAGCGCGGACAGGCGCCAGCGTGCGTGGTCACCACGTTCTCCACCAGCACACGTCGTGTGTAGACTAGGAACGGTTGCTGAAGATAGCAACCTCATGTAATACATATTCGTTCACAGAGATCAATAGAGGTTCTGTTGGCTCTCATTTACTTCTCTACATTATTTTTCTATGGACCACGCAAGCGTTGCATCATTCAACAGTAAGGGATTTGCAAGTTGCAACGAGATACAAAAGCTAGTTCGCTAACAGCATTGATCTTTATGTCAACGTTCCTGTTTATAATTGAAGTGCTCGCTTTTATGTCATTGTTTTGGACGATATAAGCTAAATGATTTGAGGATAAAGCCATTTTTTTTGTCTAGAGTTATATTTTTATTTCGTACGTTAGCATTTATAGAAAGGGGAGGTCAATACCAGATTCTAGTAGAAAAAAAAAGTGGAGGTGAAAGCAACAAAGACGAAATGGGCAACATAAATCAGCTGAATTTATGTCAGCCTAGGATTGGTGTCTTCACTCCCCCAACTCTGCACCAGTATAATCTTCTCTTTGATCCTCTGTCTCCAGATCCTCTAACCCTCTATCCTGAAGTAGTATTCTCTCTGTTTCAAAATAATTTAATATCTAGGGTTGCGACGTCGCAAAAAAAATATCTAGAGTTGCGAAAGTTAAACTATTTTAAATTTGACAGAATTTATAGAAAAATGCACAAATATCAGTGTAACCAAAATAATATCATTAGATACACCATGAAATATATTTTTCACTATATGTTTATTTACTGTCATAGATATTGAGACCCTTCTCTATAAAGTTAACCATATCTAAAATAATTTGACTTAAAACAACTCTAGTTATATATTCACACCAAACGCCAAATAGAAATTCAAAAGTTACCTTCGCTTGCCGATGCGTTGCACCCCTTTTTGCTCTACTTCATGCACCACCCAAAAGCTAGTTTTACTTAACTCAAATCATCTTACATTCTTATGTTTGATTAAATTTACACAAAACTAATATTTATGATACGTTAATCATCATTAGGTTCATTATACATAATATTTTCACTAGCCCTTCAATCTGTGTTCATGTACGCCCTAGAAGCTAAGGAGAGATAAGTATGAATTTCGTGCTTACTATCCACAACTAATCAAAATGATTTATCTATTCATGTCCGCTCTCTCTATTCATTTCCTAATATAATAGAATATGTATTCAATGTTACCTTTACCGGTTGCGTTGAACTTATCAATTACACTCCATGTGTTTTTTTCCCTGTCGCCAACCAATCTTTTTCTACTCTATGTCACACAAAATATGTTTTCAATATGAATTTAGTTGAAACCAAAGTTATAATAGCTCTTGTTTGAGCTTTGTCCTATGTCAAACTTATCTAAGTTTGACAAAATAAAAAATATATATATTACAATATCAAACAAGAGCGCAATCAAAATATATTTCATATATAATGAATCCAATTTCATGTTGTATCTTTTCATGTATTTTTCTTATAAAATTGGTGAAAGCTATAATGAACCTACAGTAATCCAAATGGGGTGAACCAAATTTTGTTGGATTCATCATGAAGAGTACTATTTGATAAAGATATGAAATATACTGCGTAGGGTATTTTTCTGGGAGAATTAAATTGAGTAAGTTAAGTGCATTTAAATGTGTGTATATCTTGTAAATTGCATAACTTGAGCTAGGAAGGTGATAAAATTGCGATTCTAATTTTGCTGGTCTTGTGTTGACATGCTCTAGCTAGGAAAAATAATAAACCTACAGTAATCATACTTGAAATATGATCTTCCTATTTAATCTTAATAAATTGCTAGTTTCTAGTGAAAATGAATGGGGTAAAAATACATAACATATCTCGAAGAACTGATGATTTGAAATGGGGGAAGTATAATTTTGTTGTTTGCAAGTTAAGTTGGAAATCTTGTTCTTAGTATACCTTTATTCTAAATCCTCCTCCTGTATTTTAGTAAAAAATAATATTTTAGATCCTAAATTGCACTCTTAATTATTACTCTGATGCCGTAAAATACGGTGCCAAGAAACTTGATGAGAAATCCAGGGATCACGGTGTGTGAGGGATGGAGGTCGAGGGGGACAACACGATATTATCATTTAAGCCACTTTTTTTTAGCACTAACCTTATCTCAAGATGTTGAACTCTCTTGATCAAATAAGTATATTTGTACTCGTGTTTTTTTATTAAAATATGTAGATATGTCATTATAGTGCAATAAGATTATATAAATAAATTTATTTAAAGCAATAACTTATATTTGTACTTGTGTTTCGTAAAATCATTTTTGTATTATGTTTCCTTCGCTATATCCCGCCATCCGGCCGCTTGCGCGTGACTGCAGATGGGCCAACTGGGAGTTCCACGTTGGCTTCGACATGCGCGCCGGCATGGTCATCTCGCTCGCCTCCATTGAAGACGCCGATGCCCCAGGGGGCCAGCGGCGCCGGCGGGTGCTCTACCGCGGCTTCGTGTCGGAGGTGTTCAAGCCCTACATGGACCCGGCGGAGGAGTGGTACTTCCACACCTTCATTGACGCCGGCGACTATGGCCTGGGCGTCTCGGCGTCGCCGCTGCTTCGCGGCGCTGACTGCCCCGCGAACGCGGCCTACTTCGACGGGTACTATGCCGACGCGGACGGCAAGCCCGTCGAGGCCATGGACGTGATATGCCTGTTCGAGAGGTACGCCGGCGACGTAGCGTGGCGTCACACCGAGTTTGGGCCGCGTGGTCGCATGGTGAGCTGGCTGGGTTTTTTTGCTGGCTCAAGCTTTTTCATGGAGTTCACGCGCGACGGACATTGTTTTATATGCATGATGATTTGCATGCATGTGATGCAAGAGACGGAGGTGAGACCGGACGGGACATTGGTGGCGAGAACGGTGGTGATTTGCATGCATGTTCGGTGGAACTTATTGCTGCTACGGCTAATTTGTATGATTGATTTATTGTGATAGAAAAATATTGTTACATAGCTAAAAAAGTAGGATTGATTCAGCTCAGGCGAACAGAGCAGTACGACTAAACCTTGGAAGCGGAGTTCAAGACCATGGGCTCCATCAAGTGTGTGGTAGAATATATATATATATATATATATATATATATATATGCCCTGTCTGCTATCTATCTTGCTGTCCCTTTGTGTCACGTGATGATGCAACCAAATACGCACTCTCATCATGTGGGTATGCATGCGCTGCAGGTGTCACTCAGCGGCATCCTTGAGATGAAGGCGACGTCGTATACACAGGTCCAGCAGATCAAGTCAGACGCGCACGGCACGCTGGTGGCCGAGAACACGGTGGGCGTCTACCACGACCACTTCATCACGTACCACCTGGACCTCGACGTGGACGGCACCGACAACTCGTTCGTCAAGAACACCATGGTCCCCGAGCGCAATACCGGAGACCCCGCCACGGGCGGCGCTGACACGCCAAGGAGGAGCTACTGGACGGTGAGCCGCGAGGTGGCCGAGACGGAGGCCGACGTCCAGGTGAACGTCAATGGCCCACCGGCAGATCTGCTGTTCGTCAACTCGAGCAAGAAAACCATGGTCGGGAACGAGGTCGGGTACCGGCTCGTCCCGGCGGGGGCGACCGGCTCGTCGCTCCTGGCGGACGACGACTACCCGCAGCGCCGCGCCAGCTACACCAAGCGGCAGGTGTGGGTGACGCCCTACAATAGGTCGGAGAAGTGGGCAACGGGGCTGTACGCGGAGCAGGGCACCGGAGAGGATAGCTTGCAATTGGGTGCCTGGAGCAAGAGGAACAGAGGCATCAAGGACCGGGACATCGTGCCCGTGGTACACGGTGGTACTCCACCACATCCCCTACCAGGACTTTCCGAGTTTCCGGTGATGCCCACGCTGAGCGGTGGCTTCCAGCTAGATATTTTTTTATTTTTAATATTTTTTTAAACTATTTTTAAAACGGACACTGTTTATTTTTTTTAAATCTAACACTTTTGGCCGCGCCTATTCGCACGGCATGGCGAATTCAAGCTGTCGTGCCATGCATGACGGTGTGGCGGGGGTGCTTATGTGGCAGCGACCAGGGCCGCTGATCGGTGATGTGGCCGGGGCTGCCGCTCCGCGGATCTGGGCGAACCACGGCGCATGGCGCGGCAATCCGCTTATTAATTCGCGGGCGGTGCAGCATGCCTTCGCGGGAGGTAGGGGTCCCGGCCTCCCCTGTGCCGTGCGTGCGCAGAAGCGACAGCGCCTTTTCAGAGTCTGGCAACGGAGGGCTGCTCGGCTTTCCACTCCGACACCGTGGCAAGAAAAGACGCAATTGCTTTCCTAGTGTTGGAACTATTGATATCTTACTAGCATACTTATCTCACAGGAACCTTTGATGCAAAAAGAGCTGAATGTTGTCATGAGGTAAGGCAACATTCTCTAGAAAGTGCGTTGTAGTTGTCTTGTTCCTCGACAGATCTACGGCAAATAATGCTATAGCTCTTCCATTTATGTTAGGTGAATTGATATTGTAATCTTGCATAAATAGTTCTAGAATAAGCGCAATGTTAAGTACTGAGAGAGTTCCTGCTGATATTGTTGCGCTGAGCATTTCTTTCTGTTCCTGTTGCAGTGATTGTTTTCTTTTGAGCATATCTTTTAGTGTCCCTATCTTTCATATTTCTTAAGAAGTTAGCTTGTTGATGAGATGAGTTCATCGGTTCATCGTGTCCATGCTATATTATGCCCCTCGCGAAAATAAGAGCCACAATATTATTTCATATTTTCTTTTCTGTGTTTGAGCCCATGCAAGTATGGAACCACATCCATGTGCTGTGGAAAGTTCCTTGAAATAACACTACTCATCTTCTGGATAATGCAGCAAATTAGGCATGGTGCAAGAGACGGACATACATGGTTAATTGTGCTCTGCCATCTTTCTTTGTTTATGCAAATTAGAAACCCTCATTTTTTAAGTTACTGGCTGTAATTTATCTTGATTTCTGGTTTGTCACAGGTGACGGTGAGATAGACTTTGAGGAGTTCATCAGGATAATGAGGAGGACTAACTATGGCTACTAGGTGTATCTTATTTAGTCCTTGACACCGCCAGTTGATTTATGATCACCGGGCGTGTGCTTATTGACTGGTGTAATTACTATAAACAATAATGTTGTGATCTGTTTATGCTTATCCTTAAAAAAATCTTGCTGTGCTTACTTAAGTATGGTAACTTCTATATATGCATCATATTTCTGTTAAAGTTCAATAGCTGGTCATTTTTCTGGTGGGAGGTAGGCTGAAATTTGTCTAGCTTTCTGAACTCTATTCAGGAGTGTGGAAGTTTTGTGGCAGGTATGTGGTGGATGTTGCGAACATCTGAAACTCTCTAATTTCGTTGCTATTTGGTAATGAAGTTCGGTTTCAACATCTAAAACTCTCTAATTTTTCTAGTGCCGCCGTCGATCGTTGCCGTTGTCTCGTTGAGCAAAAGCTACCAGTGATACATCGTGACAGCGTTGTTCGCTTAAACTTATCAGTCATAGTATAATATTTTATATGTTCTATCTTTGAATTAATTCTGATCATTAGATCTTAACCCTGTGGTTATAAAATTTGAGTGTTCCATGGCCTTAAAATAATCGTGCTCAATCATCTCAAGCCAACCAGCACACATACACATTGATCGGACCTACAACACACACATCGAGCAATAGTGTGCTCGTTCTTGGGGCTTGCTGAAGTGAAAGCCGGACGACTGATAGAAGCAGGTAATGTCTCACCTGCTGGTACTTGTAGCTCTCATATTAGCCTGTCACCTTAGGCTCAACTAGCCATATAGGTAGTTGTTCATGCTGCACTAACTATTCATGCATACTGAGAGATAGCCGTTAAAGTAAACTAGGGATGTGACATGTTCTACTCTTTGGTTTACTACTACTCAACACCATGTGACAAGAACTACGTTAATTAGGCACCATTCACGTTATATATAACATGCATGAGACAATTAATATTACTCCATTAAATATCACTTACCTGATTAGTTACCATTTTCTTTATACACGTCATCTTTTACTATTAATAGTGATGTCGTCAAAAACTAGGGTTATTGATCCATACTAGTTATATAAATTAATCAAGATTCCTTTACTAAATTTATCTAGAGCATGCACATCCATACACTGGTGGGGTGCTGCACGTCTGCATCTTGCTAGAATAGTCATCTCATCTACAGGACGCTAGTCCTTTTACATTAATAGACTTAACTCAACTAGCTGGTAGTAGCCCTAGCTGGTGCGTGTTTTAAGGCCATTCGTACCTATGCGGATCAAGTATTCACGTTCAGTCTCACTCGTTCACGTGCGGCCGTGCCTGCTTGCAGCCTGCCTGACTACCCGTCGCCCGCTGACGACTCGCAGAGCGGCAGAGCCGCAGTCGTATGCAGAGGAAAGAGAATGAACAGCTGAGTGTGGGTCCGGCCTGGCCTTGCCGCGTCATGCTCCGTGGCGCGTTAGTGCCGCGTCTAGATCCACGGCGCGGCAGCCCCGACCACGTCAGCGTTCAGTGGCCCTAGTCGCTGCCTCGTCACCGCTCCTACCGCGCCCCCATGCATGGCGCAGCAACGTGATTTTGCCGCGTCATGCGAATAGATGCGGCCAAAAGTGTTAGTTTTGAAAAAAAATTAAACAATATCATATTTCAAAATAGTTTAAAAAAATGTTTAAAAAAAATTCTCCAGCTACGCCCGGTCAACTTCTTCGACAGCAATCCGTTGATTCGGACCAGGCCACCGGCTGATCACAACTACCCAAACTGCCCCTGCGGCGTGGCGTCCATGTGATAAGGCTATAAAAGAACCTCTTGATCTAGTTATTGACAAGAGATGGGAATTCACTAAGATTGTTAATTCATGTAGGATTACAAGAAAATATATTAAATGCATCACAAGCAAAACTGGCAGAGGAGAGAGTTATCGTGAACATGGTTATTATGGTCTGGACTTGTTTGGTTTAAGTTCAAAGACAAATTTGAATTATGTGCTTCAGCGCTAATTATTATTCATGCTTCATTAACACTTACGTAAGAAGTGATAATTGGCTACAAACAACATGCCGCAAAGATCAATCTCAAAACACCGTGTTTTGTCATTGTCTTGGTACAATACACGTGCAAAATCGAATTACTATGGCCTTGATTCTGGCTTAGCAACCAAAACCTCTTGTTCAGTTTTTTTTTGGTTGCTTCCATTGCAACACATGGGCAATCGCATAGTTATGAATTAACTCTTTAGGGCATGTACAGTGGAGTGATATCACCTGTTTAGAAAAGAGAGGTGCCACATACCAAGGGAGAGAAAGAGGAGAGAGAAAAATGTCGTATAGTAATTAACATATTATTTGAAGCAGAAGAGAGGTATTTTATATAGCAGCACTTTTTACATTGTGGAGATATTATCTTTTTTTTAAGACAAAGATATTATCTATTATATATGGTCACATCACATATCATTTAACAATTAGATGCTATTTAGATTGCTCATAGACAAATTTATACATTAGCTTGTCTATTATATTATTTATGGCTGATATGAAATGATTATATAAACAACAGTTGTCTGGCCCACTGTATATATGTTTAGAAAGTTTGAAATAGGAAGATAAACTCAAGGAAAATTACTTAAAAGTAGTGGAAAAGGGTTGTTGGGGAGTGCGACCATTGACAGAGACCTTACTAGCGCCCCGGACAACCAGACAAGTGCGGCCATCGTCCAGGTGCTATGACCGCGCCGGTCCGGCCGGCCAACTTTTACTCAGAACAGAGGCACTACGGGCGTGTTTGCGACCCTGTACCTGGTCAGCCCAACTGGCCCAGGTCTGGGCAGGCCTGCCCCAAGTGGTGCAACAGCTTTTGTTTGCGCCTGTGTACCCAGTGAGTCCGGTTCAGGCGAGGCTGTGTTTGTCATCGAAGAGGCAGCCGAGCTGAAAGGCTAACCGCCACCAACTACCACACCGAGATAGTGTTTGTCATTTGGCTATGGTCGGCCAGGCCTATAACAACAAATAGAAATGGACATGAATGAAAGGAGAATGAGGTTACTCTTTCATAACCGTTACAACAACAAATTAAAGTTTCAGCATGAAATAGTTGGCCTCAGACATGCTAATTTAACAATTCATGGCATTACTGACTACATGGGATAATCAAAGTCAGTAAAGAAGAAGAGAAGCATGGGTCAGTCAAGTTTTGAAGCCAACAAACGAAAAAGTTCACAGAAACAGATAAGAGGTAGCAAAATGATATGCAGCCAGCTAATGCATCGATCCATTGTGTCATCATTGGCCAAAATACAACATTTAACAATTTGGCAAGCCGAGAAGGGCAACAAGTTAACAGAAAGCATGTAGCCAGCTAATGCATTCATCCTATTGTGTCATCATCGGCCTAATTAAAACAACAGCTGTGGCACATGAACAGCTTGAGTGACAGACCAACTACAACCATAAACAAGATCAAGATGACAACATTTTTGCAACAGCCTTGCAGACCAGGTGAATGAGGATAGATTTCAGAACCTTGACCTGCCACCAGTTCATGGGATGCTGATGCATCCCCATGAGGGGCATGAATTGGTAACAGCAAGGGTTCTTGAGGTACCCTTGCATTAAAATCTCTAAGAGCATCATCATAGTTGTTGTACTTCTGATAGATAGCCCCTTCTTCCCTAAGCACTTGCTTAGCACACTCATACCATGTAAAATAAATCCCAGGTTTCTTCCCTTCAAAGACCACATAGCAGGGAGGCATTCTCTGAAACCAACCAAATGTAGAACATGTAAGTGGTCTGAATGACATGCCTCAGTCGACCATTCAGTTTGAATGATGGTGAACATCATCGGCAACTTGATAAAAAAATTAGCCTCAGCTGTTATTTTCCTTGTTTAGTCATTGGTGGCTACCAAGAATTGTAAGAACCAAATAAAGAGGCAAATAAACAACAGTTGCACTCACTTTGCCATCGACCATCACAAGAGGATGTTGTTGTTTGTGGAGTACAACCCGAGCATAAGTGTAGAATGGAAGGATAGGCAAATAAAGAAGAAAGCACAACAACAAAACCATCAAAACAAGAATAAGGTAGCCACCTCAAGTTTGTTTTATGCATCATAGGCCTTTAAATCCCACAGTTACCACCAGAGGCATAAATAACAAAAATAGGCAACTAGTTATCAAATAAAAAGTAGCCAACAGAGGCTACAAATAAGTTTCTTACAATACCAAGTTGAGCCCAACAGCCAAGGGCTCAAATGTTCCCAAATCCTTGCCTATTGTTAGCCACCCTCCTAGGCAAACTACACCATCAAGGTCAGGTGTCAAAAGAACAAGCAGACTGCACAAAAGGTCCTGTTGTCAAAAGAAGAGAGAGTGGGTGAGGGGGGGTGGAGGAACTATACATCTCTGATCAACCCCTCCTGGTCTTCTAGCCCTTCATGTGTAGTGGAACTACACATAGTAGTTTTGGCCCGGAAGGTCCTAAGCCAAAGGGCCCTGTGGGCATCACTCATGTTCACAAAGCCCCTGCCTTGGGCCTTGTTGTCCAGGAGGAAGGTATAGGCAACAATAAGTGCCTCCTCACTGAAGCCAGGCATCTCCATCACAGCAAGGTACAGATTGGCATCAACATGGGTAGGTCCAGTCTCCCTAAGAGCATTGGCCACATTGTTCACAGCATCTGACATGTTAGTCAACATGAGCATCTCCTCCTCAGAGAAGTTCCCTCTCTTCCTCTTTGGGCCAGCAGCTGAGGAGGTAGGAAGCAGTTCCGTGGCCTTGCTATCCCCTCCCTGTTCACTGGGAACTGTGGTGTGGGTCAAGGAGGACCATCGGCCTTGGCACCAACATTTGTCCACTGGTTCTCGCCCTAAGGCTTCACCAGACCCAAGTGCAAACTTGCCTGTGGCCATGGCATTAGCAAAGATAGCCTCCATCTTAGTGTAGAACCTAATAGGGCAGTTAAGAAACTCTGCATCTTTAGGATGGTCCTGCAGAGTTGGGCAAATGTAGTTTAAGAAAGGCAAATGTAGGTAGTCAAGGCAAAGACGAGATCAAACTGCTACCTTGCAGTGGCCAAGGTAGTGCTCTTGCTCAAGCATGATAGCATGAGCCTGGTCATCCCAAAGAGCAGCACTAAGGTCCTTCAACTTGCTCACCCTAGCCCATTTCTGCCTCCACTTCCTCAAGTGGTTGTACACTTGAGTTGGGCTAACAACCTCCCCACAGAACTGCTTGAGGGCTTTGGCCACATAATTCACATCTTTGTCCTTGAAAACCTTTTCAGGCCTGCTACCATCACTAACAAGGGCAGCCATCCTCCTTAGCACAAAGCCAGAGGTGGTGTTGGTCCACCTCATTGCCCGCACAGTCCCATTCCCAGCTACAGGAGCAGCAACATCAACAGGGGTTTGTTGCACTGCAGCAACACCAAAGACTACCGACACCACCGCAATGAGGGCAAGAAGACTAGCACCAAAGACTAGCTACAACAGGCGAAACCACCATTGATGAGCTGCTCCATCACTGAAGTACCAGCAACAAACCCACCCTCAAATGCACCTGAATCCATCCTAGGACTGGCATGTAATGAAATCAACAACAGAATTAGTCAAGAACAGACTGGCAACAATATTAACAGTTGTATGAACTAACCACAGACTGACAGATCATGAAGAACAGAATGTTTCAAGAACAGAATGAATGAAGCATAAAATTGGTCTCAGCTTTGTCCACCAAATTATTACATCACCATGACACACACATGAGTTCCATAGTAGGGTACAGAAACTAAATTCAAGAACATATTACATCAACTAGTGTTTGTTCCCCTCCCTTCCCACATAGCATTGCAAATGGCATCCCTTATTTCAGCCATGTCAACAGAGTCTTGGTCCAGATGGGCTAGGGGCAGGTTGGTTGGATCAGCAGAAGTAGTGAAACCTTCCTCATCAGGCACTACTTCATCAATGCCAAAACCTAGGATCCAGTTATGCAAAATGGCACAGGCAACTACAAGCTTCACTTGTGTCCTATACTTGTGGAAGGGTTTGTTGTCCAAGATCCTAAACCTGCCCTTCAGTGCACCTATAGCCCTCTCCATAGTCACTCTAAGTGATGAGTGCCTAAGGTTGTAGAGCTCCCTTGTATTGGTGGGCCTGTTCCTTGGGCCATACTCAGACAAATGGTACCTAACCCCCCTGTAGGGAGGTAGGAAACCATTTTTGCATGCATACCCAGCATCTACCAAGAACATTTTACCTACACAAGACATCTACTGTGAGAGTGTGTGTTAATAGGCCATGGAATATGTAATTAGTGTTGGTGTGCAATTACCTTCTGGCAAACTCAAGCCATCTTCCCTGGCTACAGCATCTGCCAAAACAGTTGCATCATGGGCAGAGCCCTCCCAGCCAGCCAGGACATAAGTGAATTTCAGATCACAATTCACAGCTACCATCACATTTTGGGTGGGATCCTTTTTCCTACCCCTAAAAGCTTGTTGCATGCGCCTAGGAACCCTTGCTAGGAAATGAGTGCCATCTATAAAGCCAATGACATCCTAAAAAGCATGGGTCAGTCATTGCAACAGGTCTAATGTAACTAATGAACCCAGGGTATACAATTACCTTAAAATATGGATTCCATGTATGGCTTCCAAGAATCTTTGGGTGAGTGGTAGTGCTAGCTGGCTTTATCATTTCATTCCTAAGCTCACCCACAGCATACAACACCTGATGGAAGTGCTTGTGGACAGTTTGGATGGACCTCCTAAAGGACTGGTGGACAACCCTAAATCTTTGGTTGTGCCCTACAACATGTAAAAACATGGCAACCTGCTCTTCTACTGACACCCCCTCCCTATCAGTGACAAGACTCCTCTCTCTAAAAGTTCTCACTAACTTAAAAAAAGCAACTCTCTTCATCCTAATCATAGAAATACACTCTGAATCAGTGGAATTGTATATCATTCTCAGTGTTCTCTGTCTGTGCTTTTCATTTTCATCCCTAAGCAGGGCCAGTGCTATAGGATCAGGCAGTGGGGTTTCAGGTTCAGGGGTTTTCCTTTTCAGCCTAGTGGATACAAAGGTAACCATAACAACAGATCAAAGGCAAATTGTCTTCCCTACACAAAGATGTCACGGCTCAAAGACAGATCCATCTACAAGCATGTAAAATGTAACATGATTTCAGCTTAATGTACCTCACTAGGCATCAACATGAATGTGAAATGAATGCATGCCAACAAAAGCACGACCAAGATCTTGTATGTGATGCCTCCCAGTACTATGTGGACAACATCATCGACCAATGATGGAACAAAAAACTCAGAGCAATAGTAATTAGAAACAGATCAACATCCCTAACAGATCAAGAACAACAAGGTACAAGTAACACTAACAACCGTGCATCAAACGATTATGAACACGGCAGGTACAATACAAATCAAAACAGATCAACAACCCTAACGGATCACGAGCCCAACAGATCAAGAACAACAAGGTACAAGTAACCCTAATAGGAGCATGAAGTAGTTATAACAAGTATGAAACCCTAACGGATCATGAACAAAGAACGAACAAGAAACCCTAATAGGTTCAAGAAGCACCAAAAAAGAAGATTGGGGTCGATTTCACCTTGGCTCGGGGTCCAAACAATGGAGAGGAGGCGGATCTGGAAGTAGAGGATGCAGATCGGGAAAAAGACGAAGTAGATGCGGACGGAGAAGAAGAGGAACACCGCTGCCATGGAGTCCCAGCAGCAGCCGGAGCGGGGACACGGCGACCAGCAACCAGCAACCAGACGGAGGTCGCCGCCGCCGCCACGCACCACAACTCACCGCCGGTCTCTCACGAGGGAGGTGGAAGAGCAAGCACCGAGTGGAAGAAGGAGAGAGTGGAGAGTGGGAACCCGTATATAAAGGCCGGCAAAATCGCCGCCATTTCGCTTCGCGCGCGGCGGCCAGAGCGGGAGCGGAGAGCGGGGACGCGCGCGAAGACGTTTCCCCTTCCCGCCAGAGCCCGTGTGAGCCACCCCACCGCTGCCCAAAATCGCCCGCGTGTGTCGCAGACGAGCTCGGCTCCGAAGAAACGAGGGTTTCGGTCGTTTCCAGAGAGCCAGGCGGAGAGGTCGAGTGTTGCTCTGCGAAGCCAGGCTCGCTTGCGGGCCATCGACCACAAACATGGCAACTTGCAGCCCACGGGCGCAGCCGGGCCTCTGGGCCAGGGTCGCAAACGTGCCCGTACATTGCCCCAATTTTTTTGCTATTTGGTCCTTTTTTAAAGAAAATTTACGTTTGGTCCCCTGAGAGACGTAAACTCATCTTTGAACCCTGGAGGTCGGCGTCAGGACTCATGGCTCCGAGGTAACACGTGTCGGCGCCAGTACCTATGGCGCTTAGGTTCCTGGCCACGCATACCTGGGCATCTGAGGTGGCGCTGACATGGCTGGTACCTCGGCGCCAGAATACATGGCTCTGAGGTCGAAGCCATAGATCTTGGTGCCGAGCTCGAAGCCAAGATCTATGCCTCCGAGCTCAGAGCCACGCACTCTGGCGCCGAGATACAAAACCTAAACAGGGCATGGCCGTCGCAACTCTCTCTCGCGCTCTATCTCTCCCTCTCTGTCACACTCTCTATCTCTCCCTCTCACCGCCACCGCCAGCCAGCCCCGCCGTCGCTCGCGCCTCCTCCGCCGGTTGTCGCCCACTCCGCCATAGCAGGCCACCGCCCGCCGTCCCCCGCGTATAGATGGCCAATGGGCCGGCCCGGCAGGGGCCTATGAAAGCACGGCCCGATAGGGGTCGGGTCGGCATGGCACGTCGGGCCTCCCGGGCCGTGCCTCTTAGGGCCATGGGCCTAGCCTTCGTCCCTGGCATGGCACTATGGGCCGTTTTTCTTGCCGTGCCGGCCCGCTAAGCACGACTAGAATTACGGGTCATGCCAGCCCACGGCCCGTTACCCTTGCATTCACAGAATCAAACAGAATCAATGTCGAAATGTCTAATACATTCACAGTTTCATACTTTCATTTCATTCATAGAATCATATAGATACAGAATCAAAGTCCAAATGTCTGATACATTCACAATCCAATAGAGATATCAAACTCCAAACTCCAAAGCCAACAGATAACAGAAATAACCAAAATGAGTTGTTTAGTGCAATGTTGCCTCATTAAAAACCTTTCTAGGTAAAACTCATCCTTGTGAGAAACTCTAGAAAGAAAAAAAGAGTGCAGCCAGCTCTTAATTAAGTCTTACAAACCATTGTTCAAATGATAGACAAGTCTTTCACAGTCACACTCACTCTTTCACAGTCACATATCACACTCACACTCTCAAGAGTCAAGTCTCAATCTCACTAAGTACTAGGAGCACCACCAGCAGCTTCATCTTCATCAAGGTACAAGTTCTGGAATGAGTCTTCTAGCTCTTGGTTGTCAACAGCATGTTGTTCCCTTTTTTCTCCTAACTCCTAGTCCTTTATGCAGGTCAGCATCTCCACAATCTCTGGTGACAAGCGCCGCCGCCGTTCCTCAATTATCCTACCTGTCAAACTGAAACAAGACTCTGAAGAGACAGTTGATACATGAACTAATATGATATCTCTAGCCATTATAGACATGATTGGAAATGTTAGCTTGTGGTCACGCCACCACAGAAGTAGGTCAAAATCATCCCCATAAGAAGTGACATTGTCACTGTCTAAGTAAGCTGAGAGCTCACAAACAGTAGAAGAAGATGAACATGAAGTGGTAGGGAGAGGGGAAGGACCAACAACACCTGATCCACGGCCAAAGATTCTTCCCCATGCCTGCTTTTTCTTACCTATATGATGTGATGGTTGTGCAACCCTTTGAGACCTAGCTACACCAAACTTGCTCTCATATTTGTTAAACAGTTTATACAATTCAGTTTTGACATCAACATAGTATGAACTTTACTCAGAACCAGTGTATTCACTAAGTAATTGCAGCACATTAAAGAAACCTCTCATCTTAGCTCTAGGATCAAGAATGAATGCATATGAATATAACAGAGGTATGTCCTGCCAATATTTAAGGAATTTAAGCTTCATAGAATATACAATAGCTCTCAAATTTTGATCTTTTTCATATGCATGCAAATGAGAAGCAATCTCTAGGATATGGTGTAGAACAAGTGGACTTGTAGAATAATAAACACCAGACAGAATAACAGTGGAGTCATAGAAGAGCTCCAGGAACTCCAATAACTTCTTAGCATAATATCAATGATTTATAGTCAACAATTGTGAACCATAATGGGAATTAATGAACACAGAAAAGACATTCTTGTATAGAAGCAAGTGTTTAAGCATCGGGTAAGTAGAATTCCATC